TGCATCTCCCTCTGGTTTTGACTCTTAATTATTTGCAGAGTAACCCAGGCAGCCCATACAACCTGGCCTACAAGTACAACTTCCATTATGCTGTGGTCTTCAACATCGTGCTGTGGCTAATGATTGCTCTGGCCCTCGCTGTCATTGCCATCGCTTACAACCTGTGGAACATGGACCCAGGATATGACAGCATCATCTACAGGATGACCAATCAGAAGATCAGGATGGATTAAATCCATCAACACTCCAGCTGTCCTCTAAGATCCCTGTTGTGAATGTTAGTGTTTTGTGTGAGGTCCTGTGTAGTGAAAGAACTGTGACAGCTTGATGGGAGAGAGCGTAACACTGAATCACCTTTTTGTTTACAGCACTGATAACGGACAAAAAATAACAACATTACAGTAGTTGGCTTTTAAATTTGCCTACATAAAGCAATTAGATATCATCCTCCACTGGGGTGTACACTGAACAAATTCAGACTTCCTCCTTTCAAACACGCAGCTCACATCATTCCTTATGACTCTTCACTATGTTTAATTTCCATCCTGGTGATTGCAATTGTATTTTTTATTGTAAAAAAAAAAAAAAATATTGTAATGTCATGAAAGAATGAGATTTGTCTGGTTTCTGTGTGAAGTTTTTGTGCTTGTCTTGATATGTGAAACTGTTTTAAGTTAAATTAAATCTATGTGTATATATTGAAAATAAGAATGCAACTGTATGAGAAACTGCTGTACTCTAATTGTGAAAAGATTTGTGCAGTGTTTATTCCAGGTAGGTCCTGGTACCCCGCTTCTATTCCAAATGATAACTACATATTGGATTACGTAAATACTTGATCGTAATGTAGGTTGTTAGGATTGGATATGGATAAATGAAGCTCTGTAAATCGCAATAAAATGCCTGACAATAAATTATTACATGGATCAAATTGATTGTTGTCCATTTAAGAAGTCTCTAGCTAGTTTTGTTTAATTTGAAATTTCTTTTCAAAATAAAATTGCAAGGATATTCTCCTGGACAGTGGTCAAGAGGGGAAGTAAATTGAAGGCCAATGCCCCTAGTTTCCTTGAAAGAGCTGATATGTAACTTAATTCTCAGGAAGTTTACTGGAAAGTCGACACAACTCTGACCTTTGACTCTGTTTACCCTAATTACATAGTTATTAAAATTTTCTAGGAAATTAAATGCATTATATCTGCTTCCAAAAATGATCAAATAATTATAATTTCACTAGTTCTATTTTTACTTTTTTTCCCCCCTTGTCTAAAGATTTCAAACCGACATGCAACCCGATTGCAAAGGCGATCACTGTAGATATTACTGTGCCACTTCTCAATCCTCTTTTCTACGTAAATATTCTGACCATCACTCTGTCACATGTTCATGTTGTATTGCGTAATAGCTCAGCCAATCAGAATGCAGATCACGCTTTAAGTCCCGCCCTAGTATTATCTGCCGTATGTAATTGGTTGTGTGCTTTTGTAACAGCCATAAACTGTTTATGAAGAGCAGCTGATTCTGAAAGGTTCAGTAAATCGTGGACTTCCTGAAACGGACGATCTTATTTCACCCACAGGTTGAACCAGGAAATAAACATGGTGTGACTGTTAATAAAAGGTATGTTTGTTTTATCATTTTTTGTGAATTAAAACCGTAGTTGACCGCGCCCATGCTGACACTATGTATGTATGTCTCATAGCATTGTTTTCGTACATGTACTGTCTTCGGTGATTTCCATTTTATGCTACTTTATACTTCTACTCCACTTCATTTGAGAGACAAATATTGTAGCCTACTTTTTACACAACCACGTTTATTTTGAAGATTAATTTTCTAGTTGCCTCAGATTATGGAGTGAATACACCAATAATTATAGTCCAGTAATATGTATCATTCTGAAATTGGCCTTTCTGCATAGTGAATACAGTTATTTTTGGTATTTCAAGTATATTTTGATGGTAATACTTTTGTGCTTTTACTTCAGCAAAAATTTCAGACAGTGCTGTTTCTGTTTACTTCTGTCTGTCTATAACAGCTTTGTTTTCAAATGTAAATGTTTTGTGTGGACTGAGGCGCATATGTGAAGAAAACCTATATGAAAAACATCGTCATGATGATCCTTTAAGGCCTTGCTGTTTTGTTTTTCTTTACTTATTTACAGTACATCTTACTCTGTTTTTGTTTCACATCCCAGCTAGCATCTACGTGGTGAGGAAGATCCGGGCCTCCATTACTGAGGGAGAGCAACTGGAGAAGCCCATCATAACACCATGTAGTGCTATTGGTAAGACAATAACTATTAACACGTACTACAGCTTCTGCAAAGGAAACAAAAGGGAACAGTAATAGAAAATGAATACCCCTGTAGACTATACTATACTAACTATATGGAGCTGTGTTGCCTTTTGCATTACTGTCAGTTTACAGTTAGGTCCCTTTGTTAAGTATCAGCTGTGTTCAAGTTACTGCATGTGACATTTTTTTGTTTTCCAAAAATCTTTATGATTTTACAAAGCCAACATACACTTGATCGACACTCGAATTCCACTACGTTAACACTTTTGTTCTGTAACCTGCTCATCATCAATATCGTTGTTCTTAACTTACTTAGCCATTATGTCATGAAGATTAGTGGTATTAGGTAAAGAGAGTGTGTATGTAGGATTGCGAGGGAACATTATGCTGCACAAGTCACTGACTCACTTGGGTTTTTCTTTTCTACTTAGCTGAAAGGAGAGCGGGGCATGAGTCGGGAGGAAACACCCCAGTGGCTGCACTTGTGCCAGGACCTGATGAAGGTGTTGGTGGAGCAGCAGGCACGGGGACATCCACAGAGACAGCTGTACAGAAATGTGGCTCCTGATGTTAAAGATCACGCTGGACACTGGGACTGTAGACAACTCACTGGAAAATTATAGTTTCTCATCTTTGTACTTTTGCAGCACAAGGCAATAGTGTTATGGATGATCTCTTTTGTATACGTAACCATACACCTAAATATAATGTTAAACATTTATTTTTGTTCAAACAGAAGTGAGCAAACACTCTCTTTTGGACTGAAGTTATTCCAGTGATAATCTCAATTAAGTCTCAATGCTGCATTCAGAGTCCAGCTCCTGATGGCACACATTTAGGCCTTTTTCAAACATTTTGACTTACCATAGCAGGAAAATACACAGGTGCAACTAATAACATTAACAATGACTCTTCTCCAATTAGTTTTTGGTGGTGAGGGTAACAGGCACAATACTGTGGAGTCCTGCAATGCCACCTGAATGTGATGCAGAAAATGTATTTGGTTAGTGAAAATATTATCTGTGAGAAAAGCCTATGTTTATATTGTATACTACAGTGTTTGAAGGCCAACTCACCAACCTCTGTCCAGGGGCTGAGCAGGCCTGATGTTTCTGCTGTTGTATCAATAAATGGGAAAAAAAAAAGTTGCCACCAGGTTGATGTGTGTGTATATAAGATTATCCAAGGGCCCAATTTGTATTGTGCTTTGCTGGTGCGAATTCCCAAGCAAATCTGCAAATAACACTCTTGGTGCCCCTGGAGGTCTGGGGCTCCGGGGCAGTGGCCAACTCTGCCTGGTTGGTAATCCTGCCCAGACACCTCATGAAGACATTGTCAGGTATTTGGTCATTAATCAAAGTGCGAGACAAACTTAAATTTTGACTTGATGATGGCATTAAAGGAAAAGTCCAGGGGTTACCAAAGTTATTACAATTTACCCTGAGGGGAGCATGGTCAGGTCCTATATCAAATTTCATAGGGCTCCAGCCCCGGCTGTTTTCTGTCTGCGTCAGTAGCACCTGCTGAGACACTGGTTGCTACGGTGACTGTGGGAGGGAAATAGGCACACACAATCTATTTTCTCCCTTGGCAGACACCAGCTTTTAAGATTAAACTTTTCATCGAAAATCAAATCACAGAGGGAAAACTACAAGTTGTATTGAAAAAGTTTCTTTACTACCGGCGTCCCAAGGTTTCAATAAAAATAATGATATCTTATAGGCCTATGTGTACCTACTGTTTGCAGTTGAGATTTTATTGGTGTTTAAAAACTCCCCTCAGCTCTGTATTTGGCAAGAACTTCAGAGCTGTTTAACATGGGCGTCTATGGGCGCTTTGGGCAGCACTCTGCACTTGGGGGGGGCGGGGGGTTCTTCAAACACCATAAAAGATATCATAATGGGACCGACACTGGGTGACAAAATTCTCAAACCATTTCCAACCGAGCTGCACGTTTTAATATATATATATATATATAGTTATGGGCTTTCTCAAAGCTGTGGGAAATCCAGATCCTAATAAGTGTTACTGAGAAGTCATGGATACACAACAAGGCCAAGTAAATGTCTTCACTCCTCTGAACTGAATATTAGGCCAACAGAAGAACATTTACTCTGATGATATTAAATTTCTTTAAGGAATAGCATCATAGAATAAACAACATGGACTGCAATATTATTATACAGTATTTTATTTGATTTGATCACTCTGTTCTCATTTCCTACTCTTTTCTTGTCTTATAGCAGATTTGTTTGCATGATGATTTTTCATTTATTCTTTTATTCATTTTTTCTATGACACATCTCAACATTAACAATGTTATCGTCTATGTTAATATTTATCTTTATTTATTTATGTCATCTTTGACTGGATATTTACTATAACGTTGAATGTGGAGAAGTGCTAGTTGTCGTTCCCTTTATGCTTCTCACCAAAACAAAAATTATATAAAGTAAATGAGTGAATAAATAAGATGTCCGATTAAGCCACCCCTATGTTATGAGCTATGTTCTGTATACTTACAGTAGGCATATAATAAAAGTTAATCATTAACGAGGGGGCGCTCTTTCCCAGATTTCCTTCCTGCCCGGGGGTTAACTGTGGCCTCTGCGTGCGTTTGTTTGTTTTTTTCCGAATGCACTTCCGGTGTTCACCGGATGTTGCTGAGGAATATTGAATCGCCTATTAAGTACAAAATCAGACCCAGCGAAATGTGTTCCTGGATGTTGGTGGAGACGTTCATGGGAAAATAGTACACTTTCCTGATATTCACTGTTAATACCAAGCGAGCCCCGGTATAGGGTAAGCATTACCCTTCCTGCGTTTATCTAGCATCTCGAATAAGGTAGCATTAACATGGCTAACTGTGTCAGCTAACGCTAGCTAATCTGGTTTCTACTTTTTGTTTTGTCCAGGCGCTTGCAGAAATTCAACTTTAAAATCAAACACTTGGTCGTTATAGGAGTGTGCACGGAATGGGTATAAAACGAATAGCCTGTTTGGAATAGGTAGCGTGTTATTTGTGCAGCATAAACGCTAGCTTCATTGACAAAAGAAACATTTTTAGTGGTGGTTGCTAATTTGGCAAAGTGGGTAACTTGTGGTTAGCTGCAAAATGGTACTTTAACATTCACCAACACAGATTTATTTTGATTCTCTTCCATATATATCGCTGTCAAAAGCACTATAGAAAATCATTTCACCTGATCTGATTGCACCATGGTCGCTGATGCAAAACTGGAAATAGTTATCAGTTGTATCAGCAAGTAAGCAGTTCATTTTTTAAAACTGATAACTGGTTTATACAAAGTACTGTACTGTTGAGGCAATGAAAGTAAAGTGAGGATGCTTTCAAAAACAATTAGATTAACAGTTATTTATCATTCAAAGTGCAGAAAACAGAAGAAAAACGGCACAAATTCTCCTCCATGCACTAGCATAGTTTTTAAGGTACTTGTCAGACAGGCTGTTACAAGCATCGTGTAGAACTTGCTTTAGTTCTTATTTGGATTTAAAATTTCTGTGTATTGTGTCTTTTCATGTAATCCCAGACTACAGTTGAACAATTTGTCGGAATATCATTGAAATCGCAGTTTGTCCAAGTGCAAATGAATAACTGAAATAATTGCACTCTGGGAAGTTGCAGCAGGCATGTTTTGACTAGGGCTGAACAATTGATTTAAATATTATGGTGCTACAGAGATGCCCCAGGCAACAAATCATATTCTCCAGATGTAAAGGAACATGCTTGTGTATTACAAGGCAACCAAAATCACATATATTTTTTTCAGTGAAAAAATGAAAAAAATGACCATTCCTACTGAAATCGTGACTCATATTACAATCGTAATATCTATCTTAATAGTGACATGATCTTTTTGCATATTGTTCAGCCCTACTACTGACATTTCATTGACTATTTCATGAAGTAACAGTTTGTTAACATGTGAATCTTTGTTGGTTGAAATTACTTGAGTGAGCAACCTATATAGGATCTTTATAACTTTCAAAAACTTATACCTTATTTGTTCCTAAGAGATTGGATCTTTTTCTATATGTCATGTCTTACAGTTGTGACCACATTGTCATACCTGCATTGACTTTCTGTGGTGGATACAATTGGTTTCTAATTCTTTGTATGTGTCTCTTGCAGTGTTCTTGGTGTGCCTTACCAAATCATAGACCATGATGGAGCGAAGAAAAGCCTTAACTATTCCATTTAGTGTTAACAAGGATAACTTGGTATGTATAACCCGTGTTTTTTTTTTTTTAAATATCCAGTGTTAATGGCATACATGTCAACTTGTAAGCTTTTAGCATGTAGCATGAATTGCTTCTCAACCTGGCAAGACGCTGTGGTGATGCTTACTTTATGCACTGATCACATACTGGTCGCAAGCTCATTGTGATCTGGGATTGCTTGGTGGCTTGACTCTGAGGTTGCTTGCTCATATATAATCTTTTTCTTGTGATTTCTATATTGCTGTTCTCTGTTAATCAGTATAAACACTCTCAGGGATAACAGTTAACACCTTAAGCTTATGCAGCTGCAATCAGCATATTTTTGCATAATCAAAGCTGCTACCTTGCTGCTACTATACTGCAGTTTCCATTATGAGATGCTACTAGGGCTTCAACTCAATCATCATCATTATCAGTTTATCTTCTAGTTAAATGGTTTGTCGTTTGGTCTACAAAATTCTAGAAAATGGTGAAACATGCCTGTTACAGTTTCTTAAAGCTTAACTTCATCTCTTGAACAGGCTTGTTTTGACAGTCTCAAATCTAAAATTTCTCATAAGGCAGAGGAAAAAAAAGAAGCAAATCCTCACAACCAAGAACCTGAAACTGGGGAATGTTTTGGTATTTTTGCCTTGAAAAATTACTTCAACCCATATATATCAATCAACAAAGTAGTTGCAGATCAATCATTTGTTTAACGACTTACCAATTAACTGACCACTGTTTCAATTCTAGCTGCTATCCATAAGCATAAAAACATACTAGATAATCTCAACATAATGGATTACAGATCAAAATTGCAAGCATTGCACATTTGCCCTGGCTGTAGTTGCACATCTGTGGAAGAATTGACAAACTCTTGGCTGTTACAGGCAATTCACGTCATACATGATATGCATGGTAACTAACCACCCTGTGAATTTTAGATGGAAAACCCACTCAAAATCCCCATGACAGGTCTTTCATCAGAATGTGGGAAGTTAGACAGACAGGTACAGCTGCATTTTAGCTCTCTGTCTGACCATATGAACAAATGTTATCATTGCTATCCATGGATTATTAGTCAGACTCACATACACTTTCCTTCCCTTTCAACAGGTTTCCTGGACTGCATTTGCAGGTTGCAAACTCAGACATCATGATTCAAAGCCTAAAAATGGATCTGTGATTGACCACAAACATGCAGCCACGGTCTCATTGGAAATGGCCAGGTTAGTGGGTGCTGACAAGAGAGTTTTGACAGATGGACTATTTTAGGCTATCGATTGCAGACTCAAATACCTCGTCATTGTTCTACCCATTAGCTGAAAATGACAAATATATTCAGTTTTTCACACTAAACTGGGCTGAGAATTCAGTCAGTTGTTTTTCCTGTGTTGTTCATTGCAGTTTCCTAAACTTTCACAAGGTGGGGTACTCACTCTGCAAATCAAGTCTTACAGAGGTGATTTACCAGTGTTCCCCATTTTCAGTGCCATAAAAGAAATTTCTGAAGCGACTGAGCATCAAATATATTGGTCATCTGTTATGTGAAAGAACAAGCAGTTTAAAGGTTTTTTTCCCCCTATGAAATAAGAACACCATGCTATGGCTTTGTCCTTTCAATACAGTGGGGACTTTGTGGTTTTACTTGTTTTGATTGGTATAATGTTAATTGGCGAGAGGTGAGGTTTGAGAAAACAATTTTTGAAACTGAAGCACCAAAGAGTTCTCGCACTGTTTTTAAGCTACACAGCATAAATAACATTGCCTTTTTTTCTCCAACATATACCACGTGTCCACAGTAGGTGCTATTTAGCTCATTAATACAACCACAGGATTTTTCCTTCTCGTAATACTGAACAAAGACGAACTGTTACTGCATTTACTTGCAGCACTTTTGTCCTCCGGTATTTGTTTTCAGAATCTTTTGTATTATTAAATTAACTAAATGTTTAATAGCAATTATCCATAATTAAAATAAAATGGAAATAAACTCCTTTCCAACAACAAACTGAACAGCATTTTACTCATGACACCGCAATATGTTTGAGATGAAGCATAACCAGAACAGAAAGTTGTATGTTTTACGTTAACATGGCATTTTGATAAGAGAGTATATTTCTCTAACTGCACAATGATTATATTATATCACATGACTGAGTATATTTGTGTGTAAAAGGTTATCTTCCTCCCAAGTTCGTTCTTTCTCTGACATGTGGCACCTCAGGATATTCTTTTTTTCAAACGGCAAACATAAAACCACCATTGCCTTAGCTTTCAACATTTTCAGGTATGTATTGTGCCTGTGTGTACAGTATTAATTTTGCCCAGTGCCCCAAGCTGCACTGTTTAAAGGGAACATTGCTTATAAGCAACATGACTCAAGGCCATGCTTATCATGACTACACACACAGCTTATCTACAAGAGCAGTCCCCTCCCTGTTAATCAGCTATAAGTCAGAATACCTTGATGGGGCACCATGTTGCAGAGGAGACGCTGATCTAGGGAGATTGTGAATAAATATTTCTGTGTTTCGTCCTGTAGGAGGAAGCCCTGTCTGGTCCTGACAGATGTCCTGAAGACAGAGCATGGCAAGACATATATTGAAAGGATAAAACAGAGTCATACCATGGGAAACGAAGGACAAATGTCAAGTACGCGGAGGGAGAGTGGTCGGTGCAGAGAGGAACCTCTGACCTGCAGAGAAAGGAGATCCAGTCAGAGGGAGGTCAACAATGATAAGAGCAAGAGTTTAACCCCTAATCACAACCAGAGGCCCAACTCTTCACCCACTCAAAGGTAGGAAGACACTGTTAAAGGAATATTTAGAAGTTTTTGGAAATAAGCTTTTTTTCCCCGAGAGCTGGATGAGAACATCAACACTACTCATATCTTTCTGTTAAATATAAGGCTACAGCCGGGAGCCATTTAACTTAACATAACAACTGGACCTAAGGTTAAACAGCTAGCCTGGTTCTGTCCGCGCAAAAACAAAATCCACCAACCAGCATCCCTAAAGCTCACTTACATGTTATATATTGTAGGTTCAATCCATACAAAAACCGAAGTGTAAAAACAAGAAGTTGTAATTCTACCATGCTGGACTTTCTTGGCTGAGAGCAATGTACTTTCCTCTCACACCCACAACACTGAACACTGCCCATTTCGGATTTAGGAAAGCTGCTCACTTAGTGAATTGTTGAAACAGTTTCTCCCACTACTGCCATTGTTTTTGTTTTAAATTGTAATTTTTGAATGGGCATGGAGCTCAGGAATTTTACAGCGTGGTGAATGGCATAAAGTGGCCGCCTGTTCTGCCCGTGGCTTCTGCACAGGACATCTTTATTCCTGCTGGCTTGCAGCGTCTCTGCAATAATAATAATCCCATAGATAGACAGCTTCAGCAGACAGAGGGAGACTAACTGCCTTAGGTACCTGACTGTGAATAATTAGTCAGAAAATGTAACCTACTTGCATGAACAGCTTGTCGGCTCATTTTGTTTAAAAAAAATGATTGTCGTTGTAGAATGTCGCTTTGTCTGACATATGATGCTGTATTGGTATTTCCTCAAGAGAGAGACTAAACTTCAATAGTCAGGAAAGTGTGGTAGGTGGTTTTTGAATAATGAACAAAAATAGCCATAAAAGCAGGAGGAGGTAGTCTTTATTAGGGTAATTTCATCTATTTGTTTTTGGTTAGTTTAAACAGAAATTAGCTTTTAATGGTGTTTGGCTCGGCCAGCTGCATCCTTGGCTCTCTGTATTTTCCAGGCTGAGGACTTGATTTTATTTGGAATAATAGAGGGATTTCACAGCTCGAGATTCTGGTTCAGATATGTGTTTCGGCATTTTTTTTAAAGCATTTTAGCTTTGCCCTGGATAGGCGGGTTTGCTAAAAATGAGAATAATGTCTGCAGCATGATCAAAGCATGGTGTTATTTTTCTCTCATGTCCTCAGGTCAAGACTCAGGAGAAGGTTACAAAATGTTGACGCCGAAGACGACAAAGACGAAAACAAAGATATCGAGGAGGTGATAATAGGGAAGGACAATGGAGCTGACTACAAATTTGCTGAAGTTGTAGGTGGGTAAACACATGAAGGATTCAGATACATGGTTATTGATGTAATGCTAATCTCCACCTCTATTGTACTTCACTGAGTTATTCTGATGGTGTTAGTTTTAGCCTTGAATCAATATTTTTTTTACTCCCTGGGAAGCATCACCTTTTCCTTTTGCCCACTCTCCTCTGACCTTGCTGAAGGGTTTCTCTTAGATGTCTTTTAATGTTCGAGTTCTCCCAGTCTGAGATGTTTATTGACACTCCTGGCCTTGCTTCCTTACTGAGTGAACAAATGCTGGACAAAACACAACAGAATTTACTCTGCTATTCCCCAACGTGTATTCACAAATTCATTTGCAAGTTCACAATTTAGCAATGTTTTTCCTATCCCTCTAGGACACACCCACGAGGATACACGTGAATACAACCAAGGGCGTGTTCTGTCCTACTAGGAGAGAAAATGTAATTTTCTCTACTAGAAAGGAGATTGACAGTAATCTTACTCAGTCACATTTCCATACTCATTTCCTAACACTCCAACACCGCACAAGTCTGAAACTAGTGCCATCTGTCCTAGCAGGACATATCTATGTTTATTTCAGGATGATAGGTTGATCACTGTTTCTCTGTCTCATATAGATTGTGGGCTGTCAGTGAGCTGGAAACCTGCTGAGGATACAGGAGGTTGTGATGAGTTCTCCCCAGCGAGCATCAAGGACAGGTGGACTGATCCAGAAAAAGAACAGCAGCACAGTTTGGTGGGTACTGTACAGAGTCAAGGCTTTAAAACTCAGAACTTACCAAGGATAACCAACTATAACCAAACCTAACTCATTCCCACAAAAGGCAGAAAATAAAAGCCCAGACTTGTGCCTTTTTCTGTAAATGCGGAAATTTTCTTGTTAGCCTCATGTTCAGAATAAGCCCTTGAATATTTTTTCCACAATAGTCACCACAGTAATCTTACTTGGCAGTAATATTTCAGTAAAACTCCAGCACTGCACAAGTCTGAAATTAGTGCCATCACCTTGATGTAAAAGTCGCGGCGTTTTCTGTTTGCATCCATGCCAAATGTATGAAAATATGGATACCCAGCGAAATGCTTTACATGCAGCTAGCGAACAAATAGTCCACACTTAACAGTTTATCATTCCATGCTCGGCGCGGAATGATAGACAGAAAAAATGTCTGTTTCAGCAGTGAAATTGGTGAGAAAATATCTTTGGGATACACTAATGACAAGTGGCGGCGATATTTATGAATGACACATTCAATGGTCAAACAAGTTTTAAAATCCATCACTGATGCAGCCTGTGAGAGAATTGAGAAGAGAGATCTCAATTCTCTCACAGGCTTCTCTCTTCCAGTATCAGTACTGTCCAACTCACAGCTGTTCTCCAGTGGTGCAACCACTCCTTCCTGCACCAAGTGGCAGATACTGTGTGAGCATGTGGTGCTGTCGAAGATGGTTGTCATGTTTGAAATTGAAATTTAGGGATCAAATTTTGAGATAAAGCAACAAAACGGCACAGTTGAAAACAATGCAACTTAACAGAAAGATTTTTATCTTATCCTATTCGACAAAACCAATACTTTAAAGCCAAAGCCATTGCTTTTACGGCAGAAGAAGCCATCAAATATCACATATTTCATGCATTAAAAGGGGTTCTTTTAATATATATATTTATTTTAAATCTTCCCATTTCTCATCTACTTGAACATAGAACATTGCACTGTATTCTGTGATGTGTCTGTATGACTTGTCTGATGATTATACAACAAAAATGATGCATTGTATTCTGTGGTGTTTCAACAGAAGAGGAAAAGAAGGGATACGGAGTCCCAGTGCAATGGAACAGGCAGCCCCAAACGGCACCGTGAGAGTGTGCTTCGCCTCACTGGGGAAGATGGAAGAGATGGAGGACCGGCCCCTGCAAGTGTTTGTCTAGAAGAAAGTCGAGAGGACGTCGATTTGGAGAGCCTGGACCGTAGCATTGTACAATTCACTGTGGGAGGAGATGATATAACAGCAATTCTGGTCCCGATCGTCAATCCAAGTATAGAGGCTGGAGACTTAATCGGCGCCCCGAGACAAAGTCTATTATCTAGCCAGGACAGCACAACCAAGAGCGGCCCCTCTGAACCAAGTGAGTACACAAACACAGGAAGACTGATGCTAGATCAGCTTCTAAACTTGGTAATTTCATTGAATCCATCTGTGAGGAAACAGTGGCTTGAGTAGCCACCAGGTAGCTTGATATCATTTAGCATTTTCTGTGCTTGAGCCTGATATCGATATATAAGCAGAACCCAAGAAAGCATCTGATTTAAAAGCTAAGTGCTCAGGTTCTGGCCAAGCTGTCTGAAAATGACTCTAGAGAACACTTTGGAGGAACAGGCATAATAAAATTATCTACTACATAATCACATATTCCTTTAGCTAAGAATATCAGGACTCCCAGCCGTTTGAATAGAGTGGTTGAGAGTAAAAAGAAATCTGACAACAGTATATTTGTATACGTGTTCATTTCTGTACATAAAGATGTATCAAACATTTCTGGTAAAGAACCTCTTAAATTTGTTTGAAATTGTGAGCAAGATACGGACTTTAAAGGTGAAAACTAGAAAAACTACATACACTCTGTATAACCCAGTACCGATGAATCTATGATTAATTGATATTAGCCATTGGGTCTGTTGGTCTGTAATTATTAGTCAAAACTGGCGGGATAAACAAACGTGGCATCAAATGAACAAGTTTTGATTTTTCTGTATGTGAGTGATTGCTGTGGGTGACATTAGTCAGGTACCACTCACCCAAACAGTGGTTAGTTACAGCCTGAGCAGGGGTGAGGCTGTTTTCTGTAACACTCTGTGCTCAGTAACATGTGAACAACTTTTTTTTTTTTTAAAACGCGTGAACATTAATTATTGACCTTGGAAACTGCAGTCTGACAAAAAAAAAAACTTAACCCAATAACAGCTTAAGAGCTTTTCTTATTTTTTTATTTTATTTTACTTTATCTTGTTATCTTGTGCTTCTCCTCAGTGGATGGACATTGCTTGGTCACCAAAGTAAATGACTTTGGTGACGTCATATCAAGTTGAACCTTTGCTAAGTTTTGCAGCTGTTTCATAAGCTAATGGTGTATGCATCTTTAGACAAAACACTACTCTCTTCTCTGTCCTATGTGACAATTACATAGTAAATTAAGCTATGTAAATATTTTCCTCCGTCATTTGAGGTGAGCATCTTTTTGAGGATCATATCTTTTTTTGTGAGTTATTGTTACTTTGTCTTGAAACTATTTTTTCGCTGCCCGTGTGGGTGTGTCCTGCATCTTATTAGCTACTGTGATTCCTCTTTTTTTAAAGCATCCACATGTGTTTTCTAGGATTACTACTTCCCTTGCTCTCTTACAAAGCCCATTACACGCAGTGTCAAATAAGGGCACGGATGTGCTTGGGACTGTGATTGTCTTTAAGCCTTATTTCCAAGTAAACGGCACACTGATGTGTTCATCTTCATGCTTGTATTTCAGTTGTGCTGTCCAGTGATGATGATGATGGTGATGATGATGATGATGATGATGAGAGCGGCGATGTTCCTGAGAACCGCAGCCCAGCGGTCCATAGAAAAGAAGACACAGTAATACAGGGCAAATCCTCACAGGAAGCTGTGGTCAAGCAGCAAGAAGCTTCTGAGGTACAGCAAATGCAGGTTGGCAGAATGTGTCCCTGTGTTATATTTGATCCGCACCTCAATACAACCGAAACATATTAAAATAATCTCAAGAATGCAGGTTTTGATTTTTATGTTGAGGTTGTAATGTGAAAGAATCTAGTTTCTTCAAAGGGTTACAGGCTCTGTGTCATTTCACATTACGCATAGGAAACAACCTTGTACAGGTTTCTAAACCGAGCTGAGTTAATGCCCAGATTAGCATGACATCACGGGGGGTGTTTTAGAGACATCATGCAGGGCATACGGTTTTACCTCACCCCAGGGGGTCCTGCTTACCACCCACTAATTGACTGAAACAAATGAGAGAATGCTTCCCTGTGTAACGGCCACTTAGTTTGTGCCTGACTCACCGAGATTAGAACAGACACGAGTCGTGTAAGAGAAGGCTCTTGGAATAAATTCAAAGGAAAATTCTGGTTATTCTCAACATATGCACCATTTTTTCTGGTTCTTGCTACCATGTTATTTTATGCCACAAACTCCAGGAGATGAATCAGAAAAGATTAATGCATGTCTCTGTGATAGTGCCCCCAAATTTCAGGCCCAGCTCACATTTTACACTCAGCTGTAGATGAAAACGCTTGTGTTTGTTGGGGGTAGGGCTGAGCAGCTGAGTGCAAAAACCTTGAGCTAACATGAACTTCAGACAAGCTTCATTATCATTCAGCTGACAGAGCAGATAGCAGAGTTACCTGTTGTAGCAAGTTTTAGTCAGACATGAAAGGTGGAGAGGGATTTTTAGCCCCCTTCTACTCTGGTACCCAGTGTGAATTAACTGCATTTTAAATAACGTATGAAGATATTATTTTTGTTGTTGTGTGAGAAGCTGTCCAGAGATGGCCAGAGAAAGAAGATAACACATGTGCTGGGCAACATTGTAAACAAGATATTAAGTCTCATTCATTAATGTTTTTTATTTTTTCTTTGAAAGGCCAGACAGAGAAATGGTTATAAGTCAGGATTTTTCTGAAATGGGATTTGTGAATAAATGTCACACAAGTTTTCTTATTTGGGCATATTTGTGTATATGCACAAGTAAAGATCAAATCTGTGTGATTTAGTATTTCACGAATGAAAGCAATCATGAGATACTGAAGTGGAAAAAAATAATCCTTACTTCAATTGTGAGACGTAATTCTTAGTCATAAGTGCAGCAGGATCTCAGAAACTACACTGATGTCCCTTTAAGTTTGCTCTCTTGCTGAGAGGATTGTCTGACTTGAAAAAGTGCTACATGAGAGTCCTCTTACTGATGATGAACCTATACTGAGGTTGGTAGTGGCAACACTGCTTTTATTTTGTCTATATGGGAAAGGTTGTTCTTGCTTAAATGTTGAAGTTTTGTCATTGTAACAAGATATTCTTCAGAGGGTTTGGTTATTATTATGAGGTGTTTTGATGACAAGACACTTTTCTTATGCATAAAAATAGCTGCATTCAGTAGTCAACAATAGTGTCATTCCTGGTACTGCCACTTGATGGCGCCAAAGTAAAGAATTTCCAAATCCTACACATAATAGCTTTACATTATTGAAATTGGAAAAAAATAACCTTCTTATCATTATTGGATTTAAGCAGATTGCATGATCGTATTGTTAGATCTGTATTATCTGTATTATTTATCATGCTGATTTACCAACAGTGTTTGCATCACAAACTGTTGTATGTGTGTGTGTGTTGCAGGTGCTGCATGTAGTTGAAGAAGAGCCTCTTGGTTCAGTGGCACTCTCTCCCACCCCCATTGTAGACTACTCCTGCATGGGCTTAGCCTTCTCTACCCTGTACTGTGGAAGTTACTGCGGGAAGGCCAATGGAGACATTATGGTAACCTGACTGAGCCACAAACATGCATTTTGCTGTTCACATCAGGTATTCAAATCATCATTCCAGGACATGAAATGCAACTAATGTTTTCCTCTCCTTTCACAGGTGGCAGACCATGAAATCATCATCCCACTGAAAGGTAAAACTTTTGAATAGTTTTTAAACACTGAAGTAGAATCGCAGTGTTTGTAGAGCGGCTGTGGTCCGCCTGTGACCTTTGGTCTGGATTGTATAAACTCTGACCCAAGAGAGACCCGTCGCATCTTATTTTGGCCATGCTGTCTGCACACCATCTTCCCCCAGCTTAGTGGTCTATTTCAGATAGTAAAGTGTCTGTTCTTGGATTAGACCCTCAAGGCCCTTGTGCACTTTCACCACCCGGTGAAATCTCCCCTTCAGGGAACTAATGTGGATATCCCATGACATTTGATTTTGACTTGAGTGTAAGAACAAATCAAGACTTAATAACCTTACATGAAAGAATGCCTGGTTACTTTAGCCTTGGTTCTAGCCTTGAGAAGTTTCTCAATTATTTACAGGATGTAGACAGTGAAGCTCTGCAATTTTTTTTGCACAGCAAAATTGTATTGAGATTTTTAGCCATGCCATCAGCGTACTGTTGATAAATCCAAATAACTGTATGTGAACGCTTAACTTTTCCTCTAGCACCTTTTTAATAGCATATTTTGATTGCAGAGATTGAATCATTATATATGGTTGTATAAGTTGATGAAATGCTTTTACTGCAATGTCAGGGGAAAATGCCAGGTGTATTCCTGTGGTGTGTGTTAAAGAAACAACAGTGTTGATACCAGCACTGCAGGCTGCTAAGCTAACCTGATATCCTTGTCCTACCCCAGACACGAGGGAACAGGTGGAGGTGATGTTAACCTTGAAGCGCAAAGAGCTGAGGAGGTACAGTGTTTGGGAGCAGCAGGAAATGGAGATGCGGGACCTTCACTTTAAGGTTGATAAGGATCCTTTCCCTGTCGCCATCCTTCTGTTATGCCTGTCAGAAACTGCTGCAGCTGCTGTACAGCGGGACCTCTGCAAACTGTGTTTCAAACAAGATGGAACCACGAACCCTGGTGAGTTTGCTGTAATGCTCCCAGTTTAAATACATGTTCAGTGCTTGGAGTCAGACTCGTATCTCTAAATGTTTTTTTTGGAGATGTGGCATTTAGGTTGCCTTCGCTCTAAATCTTATTTCTGTGATACATCTTTTGCTACACAAATTCCTGATATAATTTCCAGTATTGTTTGATATGTCACATTATTCTCAATGTAAATCTGCATGGTGCATGATACTGGTGTTGTGATGTTTTTATTTCAACAGGCAAGGCCAGTCCCTTCATCCTGCTGACTCTGAGAGATCCTCTAGAGGGAATGGAGGGGGCTTTATTGCGCTCCCTCCTCGACATTGACTGTCTCAACAGTCTGACACATGACCAGTCTGTTGTAACCCATAGTGAAGACAGATTCAATTATTGGGAAGCTATCCACACTCCTGTTCTTTCTCTGGATGATAGCATAGAGCTGATTAAAAGAACTGGACTGGACTCACACCTGCTGTCTCTGCTGGGCCTGGAGAGCACCGACCCTGACCCTGACCTTAACACTGACCAGGGCAATTCACATTCTGACACAGACGAAAGCAACACACCACACAACCAGCTGGAGGTTGAGCTGCATAAAGAGACAGTCCAGGAGCTGGAGACAGCACCAGAGCAAGACACAGGGACAAAACCCAGACCAGAGGAGGATAAGGAAGAACAAGAGCTTGAACATCCCTCTGAGGTATTTGGTCACCAACCTTTTTGGCTTTTGACCTGATAAAATGAAGCAACATATACATCAGCAGAGGATGCATCTGTTTACTGATGTATGACTAGTTTAATCAGAGTGACTTTCCTTCGTGTATTTGAATATTTCAAGTTCCAAAAAAGTAAAATTGTGCTATTTCACATGAGAAATTGGAGGACAATGTACAATTTGCTGTTATGAATTTCCTTCCACAGGAGAGAAAGAAGGAACCCACCCCTGTATACACACTGTGCCATCGTAGAACCAAAGGATCATACTTTGTGTCCCTGTGTAAACCAGACTCAGCATGGACTAAATTTAAACACCAGGGTCTGCCCCGCAGGCAAGTTACCTACATCATTTCATATGCAGCCTGGTCCAGCCGGGATTGGCATTTGACTCCCAGATGAGGATCTTTGCTGCCACTAGAGTTCACTTTTAGGACTAGGAACATAATAGATATTAGGGATTCACAGATCCAAGGCTTTTGCTCTGGATTCTGATACCTCTGTTTCATTCCTCATTTTTTCCTCCTCTGTTAAGGTTGATCCAGTTTCCTCCTCCTCCACTAAAAGGAGGAATAACTGTTACAATGGAGGACCTGCAGTGCCTTGACAGTGGGCAGTTCCTCAACGATGTTATCATCGATTTTTACCTCAAGTAAGTGACACATTTTCAAACAAAAGTCTTCAAATTTACTTTGCTTCCTCATGTGTTTGTGGAGAAGAAATCCACTTTGAAAATGATTGTGTTGAAACAGATACCTTCTCCAGAATGTGTCTGCTGCTGTGGCCGAGCGCTCCCACATCTTCAGCAGCTTCTTCTACAAGCAGCTGACGCGGAGGGACAACGCCAGCGAGGGTGGCACCAGTGACTCGTAAGTAGTGCTGGCAAAGTTTGGTATGCACTGGGTCTGCACTGGTATCTACTGCCTCCAGGAAACAGCCGCGCACTGACAAAAATTGTAGCCTTCTCCCACCTGATCGGCTTTTATATATCACCTTAACTAACTGCCAGAGACCAAAATGGAAGCATTACATCCTTAAAGAGATTATAAACTCACTTGAGGACTGTGTGACAAAGTTTAGCTTTAAGTAGTGCAGGTAGAGACAGACTGACAGATGTTTTCCCCCTCACAGCTTACTATAGCTGAATCCGCTCACTGCTGAGACCACGCAGCACTACAAACTCTGCATACTCACCTTGACCTGGTTCAACTCCGCTTCATATTTCTTAGGCGTCTTATTTCCTCTTCTGTTATAGTACAACATACAAATGAGTTGGTAAATTTATATATATATATTGTTTCTTGTCACAATAAAAAAAAAAAAAACAATTCTATGATTTCACAATTTATCACCTTAATCTTTCCTTTAACTTTACCTTTAGCTTAATATTTTGGAAGGATATTGAAGCATAAATTGTTTTACTTCTGTTCAGTGACAGTGCATCCTGTTAGCATGTCCTGTAGCTTAACAAGTGCACAACGCCAAAGACTTGAAAGACAAGTTCAATATATTCAGAGACCTTGTATATAAAGAAGCATCATAACATTCAAACTTCCTGACACTGCTGTCTACGGGTATTTGTGTGTGTATGTGTAACAACTTGTGAAACACTATAAAAACATGTTTCCCTGTCGTGTGTGTGTGTGTGTGTGTGTGTGTGTGTGTGTGTGTGTGTGTGTGTGTGTGTGTATTTGTGTGTGTGTGTGTTGTGTTGTTGGCTGATGTGTGTGTGTGTGTTGTGTGGTGCTGTGTGGTGTGTGTGTTGTGTGTGTGTGTGTGTGTGTGTGTGTGTGTGTGTGTGTAACCAGTGTCAGAGGCAAAGGCGGCACCAACGGGTGAAGACATGGACACGCCATGTGGACATCTTCCAAAAGGACTTCCTGTTTGTGCCTGTCAATCAGGAGTGAGTTAAATATATGAAAAGGTGTATTGTACAGACATTTGTTTTCGAATGTCACATTACATATCACATTGCTTTTGTCTGTTTAGGGCTCATTGGTATTTAGTTGTCATTTGCTTTCCTGGACTGAATGAGCCAAAACTTGAGGCCTGGACTGGCCTAGACTCAAAGGCAGAAAAGAGCCATGGTGGGACAGATGAGTCACAGGATCAAGATGACTCTCAAGGATCTAAAAGTCCCAATGATAACACAGAGACACCACCTACATTAAACCACAGTGACAACGTGAACACAGAGACAGGTTGGTTTGGCTGAATGATATATAAAATTACTTTCTTCTACTACTTGTGTATTTTTTAAGCATTTCTTTGATTTACACTGTGATTATAGCAGTGATGGGGAAGCTGAAGGTTTGTTGTTGTTTTTATCTTTTAGAAAAGGCTCAAGAAGAATCCACCAAAGACCCACCACCTGTTCGAGTGGTAAGAAATGATACTGTTTTGTGCTTGTTATGATTTACAGTATTTTTTCTTTTATCGCACAGGCAAATTTTTAACAATTTTGTCTTTATTTGTTCGTCCACATCTGTTCTGTGTAATTATTTCTTTGTTTGTCTTTGTTTGTAGAACTGCACAGAGAAGACCTTCCAGGAAAAGGCTGTTTGCAAGAGGTGAGTGTGTTGGTAGAGTTATGCTATTCTTCTGCAACATTGACCATCTGATCTGACCATCTGTGTCTGTTTTTCACATGACGCCCCTCAGATTATGTTTCCATAGTTATTGTTTGCAACAAATTATATATAGGTCCTTCAGTACATAGACTACAAACAAAAAGTCAGGGCAGGTCAAAGGCATGTTCAGACCTCTCTGGCTCTGTTTTCTTTTTGCAGGTCTGTAGTGTTATACACATGTTACAGCAGCATCTTTCAGTGTGGTTGGCTTACAGTTGTATGCACACTAACCTGTACATGTGGAAAAATGATCCACAATAATATAATGTGGAATCAAGCATTGAATGACAGCTGTGCTTCTTCTCTCTGCAGGCCGTGTATTCTCATCATGGATTCCCTCAAACTTTCTCTTCACGAGCGAGTCTTCAAACTCTTACGGGAGTAAGTATGACACTTTCGGTCCCTCTGTCTGTAGCTGTATTGGTGTGTTTATTTCTGTGTTTAAAACATATTTGTCTCACAGGTACTTGCAGTCGGAGTGGGAGGTCCGTCGTGGCTCATCGAGGGACTTTGGTCCTGATCAGATGAAAAGCTCACATTGCCAAGTTCCCCTTCAGGACAACAGCAGTGACTGTGGCCTTTATCTGCTGCAATATGTTGAGAGTTTTTTGAAGGTAAAGAACTTGTGTCATTTTTTATTTTTTTTATTTTTTTTTTTTTAGGGTTCACACAGTCTGATGTGTTTTAAAAAATGGCCACTGCTATATTCAATCAGCAACAGCTTTAAATTTGAACTCAGCTCAACATTCAAAGGGATTTTAAGTCATGCTCACAGTGAGAAACAACTTCTGCTTGTCCCTCTGCTCTCAGGATCCCGTGGTACACTTTGCCCTCCCCCTAAACCTACAACGATGGTTCCCGCGGCAGAAGGTGCGGAGGAAACGAGACGAAATCAGAGATCTGGTACTTAACCTTTACCGGCAACAGAATCTGGATAATAACAGATAGACACAGGAGCAGCTCTACTGCTCAGTGCGTCACATTCCTGTAGCCGATATAAATCACTGCTCATACTGAGCAATGGACATTTCAGCGTGATCTGAAAATATTTCCTTTTAGATTTTGTTGTTTTATGCATTGACTTGAACAAACCATATAAACCTTTGGCTGTCTGTGGAAGTGGATATGAAGGCATCAGTTAATTCAAACGAAACAAGTTAGCTGTCTATTGAACCAGAAATCCTTTTAATATTAATTCCATTATTTCAAGACAAGCAAATGTTTGTACACCCCAAGACTTTTTACGATTGTTTTTATGCTGCAAGACATTTTATGAAATGAATTATTTGTATTTAATTTTCTATGTAGAATTATAAGTCAAAGAAGATATTGTGTGACTGTTTAACACTTAGTTTGCGCAAGTAGTTTGTACAAGTCCATTTCAGTTTCCTTGCTGAATTTCATTTTCAAATGTTATCCCACTGAAGCCTCAGGAACTGGAATCTGCCCCAACATGAAACGGCAATTCCATCAGTTTCCCCCCGTTGGATACATGGAACAACAGAGCATCTCCTTCAGTCACTCAGTGCCTCATTTACAGGTCTGTTAGCTTCCATGTGCCAGACAGGACACCCGGCAGTGTGAACTAAGATCATTCACTCATCTTCTCTTTGCAACGAAGCCAAACTCTGTATGCCCTGCTCTGTATTTAAGCTAAACTGGGATCATATTGAGACACAGACACAGCACCTTAATTTGCAGACATAGGCAGAACTACACTAAACCAGAATATCACACTATTAGCAGCTAATCATTATTTTCATTATAAATTAATCCACCGATTATTTTCTCGATTATTCGATGCATCGCCTCCTCTACAAAATTCCATAAAACAGTGAAAAATACGAGTCACACTTCCCTAAAGCTCCAGGTGATGTCGCCTTATCACCCATTTTGTTCTTAATCTGCTCAAAATCCAAAGATATGGAAGTTGCCATCACGCAAACGGAAGAAAAGAAGATAATCTCCACCAATAACAAGTTGGAACCATGAATAGATCATAAGAATAGTTTTTATGTAGATCGACTAATTGCTTAATCAACAAATATAGACTATTCTACTAAAGTGTTTGGAAATGTTTTTGATACTAACAAGACATTGAAGTTCTTTTGTCTTTTTGTCTCTTCTGTTTGATCAAATTTGACAAGTGAATCCTTTGAAAGTTAGTGGCTGCTATTGTGTAAATGACTAAACTAATAGCTACAGTACACACTGTAGACTAAGAGGAAACATTTTGGTACACAATGTGGGAGGAGTGGTCATCCATCATGCTGTCCAAATCATAGAAGGCTGTGTGTTGTGTTCACGCAAAATACTTTATTTTCACACTGTCAGCTCTGGTTTCTTACATATGGCATATAAGTTTTCTGAATCTTCTTTTCATACGATTGCAATTTGGAAAAAGTTAAGGGGTGCACATACATTGGCATGTAACAGTTTGCTGTTTCAAGGTAAAAACTTAACTTAATTAAGACCTTTAATGACCCTAAGAGATGTTGCAGTCCATCACTATTATTGCTTAAATTCTCAACAGAGATAATAGTCTTGATAGTCGAGAGTGTTTTTCCTTTATGATGTCATCGATGACATGTTTTTTTTTTTAGACATTGTGATGGATGAATGTACAGGAGCTGATTCCAAAATATCTTTGGTTCCAATGGTGTATTAAAACTTCTAGACCAAACTACTTGTTATTTCGCTGTTATTTTTTTCTTGGTAGCTGCATTGAGCAAGCCCAGCATGTTCTGGATGAAGTGTGGACGATGTTTGGGTTTAGTCCTGACTTTTGACCTGTTTTCCCTCCTGGTTTTCACAAGATGAGGATTAGTGATTAGTAACTAAAACAGAGACCGCATGTCTGCTTTGTAAATCAGTTGATTGATTCCTTTTTATGTTTTAGAAATTTTCTTTGGCTCTTGTTCTGCAAAACCATTTCTTTGGTTCCTTTTTGTAATTCGTCATAATTCTCTTTTTGACCAGAAGAGCCAACGTTGTTCTTTGGCCATAAGGCTGAATTGGGAAATGTCTGTACATTACAATGCTTGCCAATATAATCTGTTCAGAGGGTTACATGGTCAGCTTAGGTGTATTTATTGTCTCAGTCTGTCAGATCCCTTCACAGTCTGACTCTTAGTAATCCCCCTCCCATTCTGTATGGCACTGTGCTGCAGTCATTGCATCTACATTAGCAAACCTCTGTGGGTGGTCAGCCCTGTCCACTGTCTGCACACGGTATTGCTAACACGGTCTTTGAAATGGTGATATTAGGAGCAGAGGAGTGTTTCACATTGCTTCACTGGCGTCTCATTTAGGAATGCACAGCGATTTGACTGAGTAAAGCCACTGCCATTTACACCTACTTGGCTCCCCTGTGAGCCGTCCATGATCTCAGGTTACAGGATCAAGTTCTCGTTGGAATTAGAAGACACGTATAAAAACAAGTATTTTATTTATGGGGCAGAAAGACTAAGATATAACTATTTAACTGCACGAAATGCTGGCAATATTATCTAACTTGACAACTTCACATGCTATAGTTGACTTTAAATTGTGAGTGAGACTTTTCCCCTCTAAACTCAAATGCTACCCATGACCCTTTGCTGCATGTCATCCAATCTCTCTCCCTGACTTTCCTGTCTGTCTCACTGCACTATTACAATAAAGGCAAAAATGCCCCCCAAAAAAAAAAAAATCCATTATTTCACTAAAAGCTTTGTTTTTCTTCTTTTCCCCCCATTATTCATCTCGCTAACACATTAACACACCCCCAGATTAATCTTGTGACCGTTTTCAAGGGAGCAGACCCCTAACCCTAACTGTACATAGTGAAAATGCAGAACAAGTACTTTTACTATCGATACAGAAGTATCAGATCATATTTCTGTGCTTTTACTTGAGTAAGACTTTGAATCCAGGACTTGTAAGTGTCATGCAAAGTTTCCATTTGTTCAGTGAAATATCTTCACATCTACCTGATAGATCTGCACAAAATTGTGTGCTTCCTTCCTTGACTTTAGGGGATTCCTTGACTTTTCCTCTAGTGCCACCATGAGGTTGACACTTGTGGATTGAGTGAACTATCTCAACAATTGTTGGGCAGGATTGCTGTTGAGTTTCGTACAGACATTCATGTTCATGAGAGGATGAATATTAATGGCTTTGGTGATTCCTTGACTTTCACTCTGAGCATATCAGGTGAAAAATTTCACTTCGTCCTCACTTGGTTTATGACCAGATACTTGCAAAACGAATGACGTTCCCATCAGCCTCATCTGTTCTGTGTACTTCGTGCTAATTCGCAAATATTTGGTGACATGCCAGATTTAAGTCATATTTTAAGTAACAGAATTTCCCTGTAAGTTTGTTAGCCGCCATTACTTGCTCCATTGTTCTGTCTTCACACATGCGTATAACGGCTATTTAAGGATAAGAAGAGGCAGATTTCCCTTTTAAAAACAGGATAAACCCCGTAGGAAGAGTTTGGGGTTAAAGGTCGACCCCGGACTAAGCCCATGACTCTCACTGCTGTCGATATACGTATATGCATAGTGAGAGGATTTTAGTTGCCGCGCCTTAGCTCATCACCTCAACTGCTCAACCAACTACATTTATATTCACTGTAATTTAGAGGTCTGAGTGTGGGATTTGTTTAAAACTTGCTAGATTAGAAAAAATTCCCTGAGGTGAACTTGTATCTGCAATTGCCAGATCAGCACTTTTTTTCTTTATATAATCCTGTTGCAGTCAGATTAATGATACTTTTTTTTTTTTTTTTCTAAGAGCACCAGACAGTCATTATGATCTCTGCAGGCTGGATGTGAGTTTTGCCATTTGTCTGATTGGGCGACAGTCCTTAAACTGAATGACCAGGGTTCAAGCCTTTGCACTGGCATTAATAGTTAATATTTCTTGCAGAAGTCATTAATTCCAAATTTAATCTGCCTACAAGAATCACTAAACTGTCATAATCTCTGTATGTGTCACTGCATCTCTCTGCTTGCTGTTGATTGTGTAGCCTTTGTTCCCTCCTCTCTGTCCACGTTTCCTCCACACTAAGCGCCCTCCCTTCTCAGCGTTGCTCCAGTAACTTCTTGGCGAGCTCTTCTAAAAGGCTTAGAGTAAACAGGATTAGAAAGAATTAAAAAAAAAAAATCCCCCCCTCTCTCCAAGAGCCATCTGCCTATCTACCTGAGCCAGGAGCTGTCCTCTCAGCACCATGTGACACACCTCTCTTCAGCTGCGGGGGGGAAAGCAGGAAACCAGTATGTGACTGTATCGACAAATGATTTCTGCAGGGGGTTCTGTTATTTTTCTGCGTCTGGGGAATTCTGAACTATGCAAACTTGTAAGAAGCTGTTCACACTGCTGTTACATGACTTGAGAGGAAGTACACATCTACTTGATCCTTTTCCGAGTCCACGGATTTAAACTCAACCACGGATTTAACATGAACATCGTATCTTGGAAATGTGTTTTTTATCCTGTTGCATTTAGTTTTCTTGCCATATTTTTGGACATAAGGACAGGTATGTATTAAGTGTGAACTTATAAGCTTCTTGTCTACTGCTTACTCAAAGCCCAGTCAAATTAAAGTCCTTAATGTGTTTTTGTGGTATCCTAGGTGCAACACTGGAAGGTTCCTCTATGGGACACCTTAGTCTGCCTTATATTGAGGAGCCTGTGGTGTTTCCACGCATCGTTCGTGTGTCTGATGTGAAGGCATCTCAAGGCCATGCAGTTATCTCTCGACAGAAAAGGAACATCCTTTTCCCAAGTGGCGTCAAACTGTGTGCACAAGAGACCGCTCAGCAGGTTGTTGCAAACCATCTGAGCTACTTTCATCTCAGAGGTGAGACTGAACATTAATGGGAGTAGATCTCTGTGCGCTGTAGGCATATATTCACAGTTATTGTCAGGTTGGATGAGGTGTGGCTGCACAAACAAGGAAGTGATATCAACAGCAAAATAATTGATTTTGATTGATCGATTTTGTGAGATAGTCCTTATCATCCTTTCCACTGCATGTCCTTAGTGTGTGAAGAATTAATTGTCCACTAAGGGTTTTATCCTTTGCAGCATTTACAGCATTGAGTCCACCAGAGTCAAGCAGAGGGGTGTCAGTCGACATCTGTGTGGACACCAGTACCAATTAGGCCTTATGAGATTTGCATTCAAAACAGACTGTGGTCTACTTCAGGTAGATCTTTCTCTTAACAGGATCAGTTCAAGGAAATTATTATGTGGACAGGTTTTGAGATATCTACCCGTAAAAGACGACTTCACCAATTTAGTGTTATAGCACTCACAGTGGACAGTTTAAAAAAAATAAAGTCAAAATCAGTGCTGCAGAACTAGAGATATCGTGTCCAAACCTGGTGTCTATGTTACCCACAATGCAACTCAACCACCTGCAATGTGGTTGGAGATTCCGGTGTGTTATGTTAGTAGCCATAGACATATACTGTATACGTTTATGTCTATGCTAGTAGCGGCTAATGTAGCCTTGAGGTTCTAGCCTCAAGCAGAGATGAGGAGAAGACTACAAAGGTCTGGACACTCACTTCTTTCTAACTCCAGATTTTTTTATTCAGTTTCAAATTTGCAGTTTTCAGACCCAACTGATCCTGACTCAAATGACATCACTTGAGGCAATTTATCAGACATTTTGCAGCTCTCTCTGGAGCCACAAAACACATTACATTTCACATAGGCACTTTAAAACTGGTCAAGTTCCCCTGTAAACCTCTGGCACCAAACATGCATGTGAGGATGAATGTGATTTAATTTGTGCTGCTCAAAGAATATAAAACACAATCACATTTATTAAATTGAACAGCAACATTCCTTTCAGATATTTCACTGGGGCTATTTCTTTGGTAGAAAGTAGAGCTGTTGAAAACTGTGGACAATCAAGAATAACAGGGGCACTATTTCCAGTTGAAGACACACTGCTGTTTCTTTTAAATTCCATTTTTAAATACTTAGCTCAAATACATCTAGCTCCACAGGAACAGTACTGATGTAGCAGCAGAAACCTCAGAGGTGGATATCTCAAACTCATATATTCATAACTACGTTATGAGCATTTACTCAAATAGGGTTCTGAAATAGAGTTTTAAGGTAGGCTACTTGTACTTGGGTGTTACCATCATATATTACTTTATATTTGTACTTGTACTCCAAAACATATATTCCACAGCTTCACAGCTTTAGTTACCAGTTGCTCTGTATATTATTTTCATAAAAAAGATCAGCTTGATATCAACGTAAATGTAAAATATGGTATATCGTTATAGAAATCACTAAACTGTATTTAAATCAGTTCAAATGCATTCCAACTTGACCAAATGAAGTAAAATGTGGTGTGTTCAGGACATTTTGCTGTACTTTTATCTAAGTACAATTATAAATGCAGGATTTTTATTTGTAAAGGAATATTTTTGCATAGGGGTATCGCTACTTTCACCTAAGTAAAGAACCTAAAACAAACAGATAAACAGGAGGCGGCAGTGCACCACAGCTGGGCAGAGAGGACACATTTTGACCCATTATTGCTTGACAAACTCTGTGGGCTGGGATGGAGGTGATTGTTGTCACTGAACTTGTGGGCAGCTAGATAAGTTTGTTGGTGCCAAGAATCAGTCTAAATAAATTAGACTGTAACAGTGAAAAGTTGAAGTTTGTTATGTAAGTTGGATTTGGAGGTGACCACTGCTGTCTCAGGTCTCACAGACAGTGTTGATTAGAGAAGGAGATTGGAGCATATGTCAGTGCACTGACTTTGGATCAGTGCCCAGTAGGCTGACTCATGGAGGGGAGTTATGTCATGAAGTTAACATGGCAATGGACATAGATTCGGGTGCCAGAACTCCTAGCTAATAATGTATAGTTTTGCAAAAGGTCTGTCATTGTTTGAATTAATTAAAAGATGGTACTAATTGGCCTTCTGATGAGCCAACAGAGTGGTTGTAAGTGCACAAGTCACCCAAAGAAAAAATGATTTGGAAAACATTGCTGTAAATGTGTTCTGTAACTCTGTTTTAAGTGGATGTTGTCTTTTTCTGCTCTGACCAGTGTGCCAGGAGACCATATGGGAGGCTTTTAAGATCTTCTGGGACCGCCTCCCAGAGCAGGAAGAGTACCAAAGCTGGATGAGCCAGTGCCAGGAAGGCACAGTCACGGCACTAGATATTGGCAGCTACTTCAGCCAGTCAGAGGAGCACCAGGCTCTGGTTAAAAAGGTTAGTGGATGACTAATGATTTAATAAAAGTAGGTATGTTAACAGCACAGAACATAATAAACTTCTCTGCAGGTGGCTGATACTGTTACTATCATTTTATTTCCAGAGAATGTCACTGCCAGGTTTGAAAAGGTAAAGTAAACCTTCCCAAGTGCTAACTCACTCATTCAATCATACATTTCTGATCTGATTGTAAAAATCTGTGTTTTGTAAATGTGTCATTCTTCCCACTATCTGTAGTGAGCCCACCAGGTCCTGGCAGCATATGTGCAGGTAAGGTTGTCAGTGCTCTTCAACCTTACCTGTTCATATTCCCGCTCAACAGTTACCGCACGTCTTAAGATGTCTCACGTTCATTTGTGTTTTTTTTTTTTTTACTTGCCTGTTTTATGTATGTGTGTCTCAGACTTGGATACTGGTATCCAAGATCTCGTGTTACGTATTTGTTTTCTCTCTTTATTTTTAAAGGATAATACAGGCATTATTTCATTTAGTTTTATTATTTTCAACAAATCCCTTTAAAAGCCCAAAACAAATAAATTAATTTTGTCAGTGTAGGCACACCCTGAAAGAGCTCATTCCTTCATGTTGTTGCCCTATAAAACTATTAAAAACACATCAATGAGCCATACTATTGCACTGTGGTTACCCATTCCTGAAACACATTATTTTGAGCACACCCATTTAGCATATATGAACACAATACAAACTTGATGGTTTATAACACTTTATAATATAGTTGTAAAAAGAAATGCCAATATAGTAAAACACAGTATAAATAATAATGTTATAATGATATAAAACATGTCTTCATAGGAGAAGTTACAATTGTTGGCATATAGTTAACATTAATTAACACTTAAAATGCCTTTATGCTTGCATACAACTAAATTATAACGTGTTATAAATAATGTTTGTTGACAATGATATTTGTAAGGATGTAATACTGTATGTCACCCAATACAGCAGAAGAGCTATTTAATTTTAGGACAACACTAGAGTTCTATGATGGAGGGGCGTAACCTATTTGGCTGAGTCAATATTTGTTAAAAAAAAACAACCCTAGGCTTATCCTTTAAATGTCAATACTTGTATCTCCACCCACAGTGTTTCACCACATAAAACCTGTGAATCCTTTTTAACTATGAAGTAATGACCCCAGTTTTCTACTGTTTCACAGCACTCCAACACCAGTCACAACGAAAGCTGCTGAATCTCCTGAGCTAGGTCAGTGACACCCCTGACAACACGTCTCTGTTTTCCCTTGCCACATCAGCACCTGCGCATACTAATGTGTTTTTTTTTGTGTGTAACCATCTGTGTGTGTGTGTGTGTGTGTGTGTGTGTGTGTGTGTGTGTGTGTGTGTGTGTGTGTTAGGTGGCTCACATTCACTTGAAATAAATCGACAACTTCTCTTTTCTTTTTTGCACATGGACTCAACCACTCAGAAGACGTAGCTGAAGAGGTGGAGGGGGAGGAAGCAGCCACCATTGTCCCAGAGGTGCAGGAGAGTACAGTGAGTGCACACAAACATACCCATACACTCTGAATGTTTGTAGATTGTTTTTTTTTTGTTTGTTTTTTTACTGTATCTATATGCGCCTGAATTACAGTGTAACTGTATTTCTTTCTCATGGCGCAGCTGGACAATGACATTGCCATGCAGCCTCCCACACCCGCTGTGCTGGAGCAGGTGGTTGAGCTCAGCATCGTCCTGACAGGAGAGATGTACAGCGACGACCTCGAGGATCCAGCCAGCCCCCACTTCCAAACACTCAGTAGACAGCTTGCTGAAAAGGTTCGTCTCTTGCTCAGTCTCCTTCTGTCTGTTGCTCTTTATGATTCCCCTTAGTGCTACTGTATCTTGGCTCTGGCCTAGACCTGCTATATCTCCTGGTTTATGGTCTATGATGGATGCCTTGTTAGTTTTAATAACACGCACTTTAACTGCAGCAGTAGTTAAACCTAAACTCTTAGGCGGGGGTTCAAAAAACACGGATTTTATGGTACACATTTGGTTTTGGTGAAATAACTATGTGCTGAAAATACAGCTTTATGACGTGTCTTGGGAATAGATAAACTTTTGCACATACGCACGTTTGCGCAGGTACTCACCTCTGGACACAACTTCACTGGTTTTACAGGTACTCGGAAAATTCAGCAAATTTCTTTTAGTACTTTTCCCTGGCGGTCAGCTCGACACACGAATGCAGTGGGCACACAAAAACACAGAGCTTGTAAATGATGAAGTTATTTCTCCTTAATCGCGGAGTTGTTTTTTTTATTTTCTGCAGAGATCTGCTGGGCGCTTAAGATCTGCATCTCTTCACATATACGAACACACACTCTGCATACACACAAGCTCACGTGCCCTTAAGGGATTAAAGGCTATGTGGAGGAAGTGGAGTGTAGGAGAGGACAGCGGCTGAAGACTCAGAGTTAGTTATTGGGTGTAGAGAACGAGGGACTTGAGACAAAAGGCCCTGGGGACCGTTTTGCTTCCTCCTTCTCTGATGAATTAAATAAACTGGGTCAGTGAGTCTCCAAAACAGCATATGTATTGTTTTCTCTCAGGGCATAGAAGCAAGTAGACCAATAAAAAGAGTTTCTTGCGAGTTGACCATGGTGCAGTAGTCTGCCTCTTGAGGATAATGACCCGGGCCACAGCAAAATCAGCCCTTTTGGAGCAATAAATCTCATTTACTTTGCCAAGCAAGTTTATTGTAACCCTGTCTAAATGAGAAACAACCTCTAGCTGAGGCTTCTTTATGATGCCTGATCATGTTTGTCTTTGCAGATAGAGGATGCTCTGGAGGGGCTTCCTGGATTTAAGAGTGTGACTGTGCTGGACTTCAGGTCAGTCTCTCTGCTGTGGTTTTTTTAAAAAAAAATCCTGGTTCTGGACTAAACAGCTGTCCTCACATTATGGCCAAAGCTATCTGAATTTGTAGCATTAACACCATTTCAGCTCTCTCTGCTGAAGTTTAACTGCTTCTCCTTGTTTTATGTAGGCCCCAGAAGGAAACCCAAGGGTGAGTCATCAGTGTAGGCTGTGGTAGTTTGACCTTGAATAGTTCTCCCTATCCTATCTTGTATTTAAGCCCACAGATCCCTATCAACCATTCCTTAGCCGGAGCAGTGTGGGCGCGTGTGGCGCCACCTTCATCTCATACTGTGTTTACCTGTGAGCGTGGGCACGTGTTAAGGTGTGTCACTAGTTGCCTGTGTTAATGGTCTTAGTGCGGTCACTCACCTGATAAGTGGGATCAGGATGGTTTCAACCGAGTGAGCAGGTGCTCTTCTATAGAGACGATTATCGGGGCTTTACGACCGCACCAATCAGCCTCTGGTGGACGGATGGAGAGGAGAAGGGTTAGACGGAGAGATGTAGTGTGTGCCAGGTGAAAAGCAGCAAAGAGGAGGAATTGAAAATGGCAAATGGACAGAGTGAAAACAGTTGGTAATGCTGTGACAGTTTCTCATATAAATCTCATATAAATTTCAATTTTTACTTCAAGTAATAGTTTAACATTTTTGGTATTTTGGACATGCTTACTGTTGCCAATCATTTGGCAGCAGTGCAATGCATAAAATCATGCAGATACAGGTGAGTTCAGTGCAGACAGACACACCTTGTTGATGAAAGAGGTCGAAGGAGAATGGCCAGACTGGTTGGAGCTGACAGGCTACGTTAACTCAGATAACCACTCTTTACAACTGTGAAAACTCACATCACATTGAACCTTGAGGTGGATGGGCTACATATAGCAGAAGGCCACGTCTGGTTTCAGTCCTGTCACCCAACAACAGAAATCTGAAGCTGCAGTGGGCACAGGCTCAACAAAACTGGACGACTGAAGGCTGGAAAAAACATAGTCTCGTCTGATGAATCTGGATTTCTGCTGAGGCAGCAGATGGTAGGGCCAGAATTTGGCCTCGACAGCTTGAATCCATGGACCCAACCTGCCATGTGTCAGCAGTCCAGGCTGGTGGTAGTGATGTAATGGTGTTTTCTTGGCACACTTTGGGCCTCTTAATAACAATCAATCACGGTTTGAATGCCACAGACAGCCTGTCTAAGTGTTGTTGCTGACCACGTGCATCACAATTTACCATCTTCAAACAGCAACTTTCAGCGTGATAATGGTTTCATGAACATGACAATGACTTCAGTGAACTTTAGTTCCCTCCCCGGTCACCAGATCTGAATCCAGTCTCTTGGATGTGGTAGAACAGGAGACAGACAGCATGAATGTGCAGCTGACAAATCTACAGAAATCATGTGATGCAATCATGGGGCAGAATCTCAAAGAAATGTTTTCAACATCTTGTTGAATCCACGCCTCAAAGAATTGAGGCTGTTTTGAGAGCAAAGTGAGGCCCTACTCAGTATTAGTATGATGTTCCTAATAAAGTGCTTGAGTGTAAATACAGTGAAGAAAATGGAACAATTAATATTTGCCTCTGAAATGTTGTGGAATAAAACTATAAAACAGCAGAAAATGGAAATAGTCAAGTCCAGTCAACTTAATACAGAGCTTAAGTATGATAGTAAATTAACTCTGTCGCAGTCCACCGCTGTGCACAAGTGAAGTTTGACGAAATTTAAACACGCAAAGTCCTGCTCTTTAATTTTGTTGTGACACATACTTTGTACAGTATATAGCCATAACTGTGCAAGAATATGTACACTGAGAAATATATTTACCCACAGTGATGCTGTGATGGATGCTGCATGCTGCTGCGTTCTGCCGATCACAGGGCACAGCAGGAGGAGAGTTTTGTCTGCCTCTGTGTATGTGTGAAACTAAAGGGGGGAAAAATTGGATCTCCTTCTAAATGGGGCCGACAGTGGGCCGGCACGTGCTCAGCCGTCTGCCAGAAACCCCACAAACTAGGTCAGAGTGGAGGGCTCCCAGAAGTCAAATAAAGCCTGATAGATGTTTTTTTTCCACAGCCTGGAATCTCTTGTGAGATTTCCATGTTTATTATGATGATATTGATCATTCTGCTGACTCTGCAGTTTTTGACCTACATAGTCGAACTCCTGCTCTCCAAGCAGGAGTAAATCACTCGAGTCATCAGTCATCTGTGAGCGCGCTACAGCTCTTTTAACAAGTTTGACGTTAAATCACGCTAATACCTAAGTGATTTTCATCCTCTTAGAGAAGTGCTCTCTCATCCAGGAGATTTGTTTTCCACCTTCTTATTGTAAAAATACGCATAAACTGAGGATAAAATAGTGCTCAGGTATAAACTGTGTACTAGTATATGGACTGGAAAATTCCCTCACTGATTTTGGATTATAAAAATGAATAGGAAACCCTCTTCTGTCACTCAACAATTGCTATGAAGGTATCCTTCAGCAAATCACTCAACTCCTTTAGTGCTCTAGACTAAAAGAGTAATCAATGTGGATAAGGCCTTTTGAATAGAAAGATTAGGGCTGGGGGATATGGCTGAAAAAAAAAAAAAAAAAAAAAAACACTATTATGAATAAGAATCGAGATTGAAAATTCATTTTTGACCCTGGAAAACATTTCAGTCGACAACATCTCACTGCAGAGTCCATTTAGAAGCTCGTGGAAAGATGTGAAAGGTGTACATGTAGTCAGCAGTCTAATTAATGTATGTGTGTTTGCACAATCATGACACTACAGTGAATAAGAGTTTTTTCTGATATTGATCTAAAACTCAATCTGGCAAATGTATGTAAAATTACATAGTAAATTTGATATTATAGTTACACAGAGGGAATACAGTTATCAATAAAACATAAAATGTTTAAGTCATTCCTTGGACTTAAACATGAAACAACATCAGAATTAATGAACCATCATACCGACAATAATAATGATGATAAAAGAACAAGAAAAGTTCATCCAATTCAATGATTGATCAAATTCCTTCTACAGTGTCAACTCCCACCCACAATTACAGTTTTGCTTGAATTAGACAACAGAATTTTATAAAATTATTCTAATTTATTTTTAATATCACTACAATTCCAACAACAACCAACATATGATAATAGTGAATTATTGCCTTGAGATTGCCTTGCCTTGTTCAGCGTGTGGATTTGATGTAACTACTACATATTTGTGTTTTCAGGCTGGATGGCGTGGTAGTGGACTATGCTGTCACAGTGTGGGTGGATGGAGCAGGGGTGAGCAATGAACAACTGGACTACCTGACCTTGCAGTCGAACCGGGTGGAGAACTCGTACAGTGAGGTCAAGGAGCGCCCGACAGTGGTGTACACCATCAGCGAGATCAAAAACTATGTCACTGAAGCCCTGCATCGCAACGAGCCAGAGAGTGGTAAGACGATGGCCAGTGCACGACTGCTGAGCTCTCCCTGCACTGTAACACAACACACGCGTGCCTCTTTTATATGATTTATAGCTATTTATTTAATTGGCATGGCAGCAAAGTCACCGGGAATGCACTGGCAGAGTTAGTGCACGCATTGCAGGGCAAACTTCCACATGTCATATCAAATGGAGACACAGTGGACCCAGCATTGATATTACACTGTATGCTACAGCAGTTGAGAAAACATTCCAGGGTTTTAATAGTCTCATCTGTTTCTTATTTGTCTGCTTTTTCTGTCAAAGAGGACAGACACATATTTATAACAATTTTCAGCCCAAAAGTGGGCCATTTTTAATGAACAAATCACAGAGTCATCAGTTATAGGAATCTGTGTATTTATTCTGTGCTACAGTTAAATCCTTGTCATTAAATGGTCTGCAAAGTACAACTCAGCAAAAATTACGTTTGAAATCTGAGCCCTCAGGTTTTGGGGCTTTTCTTTAATCCTTTATTTTGGCTTACACCCAGTGGATCTTACAGTCGGCTCTTAAAAGAGGACTTCACCAATTTAACATTATCAGGCTCGCGGCAGTTTTAAAGGCTCAAAATCGATGCGGCGAAAACCTGGCACCTGCATTACCCACAATGCAACTTGGCATCCTGTCAGAGATTTGGGGGTGTTATGCTAGGCAAGCTACAAGTACCGTGAGCATTCCTGTTCTTCTGTCATGAAGCTAATAGCGAGACATAAGGCAATCCAAATACATCTTGTTTCACATATGCAGTAGTGCTCCTTAATACCTGTAAACAGACTTTGATATCAAAAGCAGCACACACACACACACACACACACACACACACACACACACACACACACACACACACACACGCTGTAGGGAGATCCAAACTACTGCGTCTGTGAGATTTTGACAGTCAGAAGTAGGTTAGCTACCTCCTACTCCTGGTTAGGGCTGTTGTCCAGAAATATGAAGAAAGTGAAGGATGTGATAATGTCTGTACCATCTTCTCCTCCTGTGAGATCTCTCCCTGCTCATGTTTTTGAGAGAATGTGTGTTATTAGTTTACTGTGTTAGCGAGCTCCCATTGAGATGGATGCCATCTAATGCTGACATTAGTTATAGGCTGCGACAAGTGAAATGAAGGCTAAACGCTCTCATATGGCTGACATGTGTGGCCGAAGGGAATTTAAAGGCATTGGCTTTGTTTTTGCTTGCTTGCAGTAATAGCTGTGGCTCATAGTGGATGATATCCAGTCCAGATTTTTGCACTGATTTGAAGATGTTTACCCCTGAAGGTAACACTGTCAGAATGAAGGCTGTCACTGCTCAAACAGTTACACTTAAAAGGATTTTCTAGACTCTTGCAGGCAGGATTATTTAGGCTATTTGGCGCATTTGCCTTTTTGTGTCTCAGTTTGCATTAATATTTGTTCCTCCTCTGGTTTCACAGTGTCCGAGATACCCGAGTCTGTCAACGTTGCAGACGGAGCCACGGTGAGTAACAAGTTACCTCCACAACTATCACAACAACAATCTCTCTCTTCGGGCTATCCGTCGGCTTCGAGCTACACAAAGTTGACAAATCCCTTTTGTTTAAGGAAGCTGACAGTCGTGGTACGACTGATGTTGCGATAACCTGTAACTGGCTTGTGATGTTGTCCAGACCACACCAGTGCAGGTAGGGGATGAGCTCACCAGCTAAGATGAAGTGAAGCTTTCAGGATTAGTTTGGCTCTTGCTATAATAATCTACTGCTATTCTGGGGCAAAGGCTACAGCGCACCACACCACAGCACAGCACAGCCAAGAAGAGAGTGCACATATGAGTTCATTCAGACGAGTAATACTATCTAAAGTCTGTCTTTATTTGTGCTGTCTTGTGGTTGAGCATGGTCTTTGATGATAATCAGAGTTTGTGTTGCACTATATGTGTCTGCTGGTTCGCTTTATAACTGAGTGATTAATTTGACTCATTATATGAACTGGGAGAGTTTGGCAGACTTCTCATCAGTAATTGATTCACAGGCCAGAGCAGAAAGCTACTGTGCCACCGAAGAACTTTGCTGCCCTGGTTTGGATTCTGACCATTTTTCTCTTTCAAGTTATCATTGACTTATATAAGAAGTGTAGAGCCTGCAGTATGCCACCAAAATGAGACCTTCATTAATAAACTCAAAGGAAATCCTCCACTACTTCTGCCTTTAAAGTTTTCAGGAAACGATTCAGAAACTGGAAAAACAGCCTTAAACAACAAATTCAATGACAAATTACAAAATTAATCCATAAACAAAAGTTAAATTGTAAAAATGAACTAGCACAGCAACAAGTAAACTGGACACAAAAAAGTCTGTAGCTTAACTAGTTGTAAAAACAGTTACTTTGTGCCTGTGGTTTTTCCTTGAACCAGGCAGACAGTGTACAGATTTGGTCCGATTTTAGCCCCAAATTGGTCGGCCCCAACTACTTTAAGAATCAGGAATTTCTGCCAGATTAGCTGTTATTTGACGTGCACTTTGAGGAGGTCACGATGCCTGATTAATAGCCTGAACGATCGATGATCTGATAGATTTCTGGCATTTCAGAAATTTAGCTTGGCTGTTTTGCAGTTTGAGCAGTTCCACTGTCTGATTTTCCACATGACTGTTGTCAAAAGATCTGTGATAAACTGTAGTGATCTTGTTTTAATATTACTGGAGTAGTTTACATGTTGTAAATAAAACTTTAGTCTTCAGATATAAAAGTGAGGTAAAGCTGAGGAACAGACAGATCATCTTCCAGACAACTAAGGCTCCATATTTTTCTTACTTTCCTTTTTTACTCTGTTTGTTTGTAATTACCAAAATAATGCTTCTTGTCACATGTTTCTATCCAAATGATTGCACAAATTTTAACCAAATTACCATTGGTTTGTCAACCTGGAGGTGTTAATTCTCCTTTCTTGTGCTGTCAAACTAGTTGTGTCTTCTTCTCTGCAAACATATGACGCAATCAAGAAAGAGCCAGTCAAGCCTGAAACAGTGAAAAACAGTCTAGAAAACGTGATGGTTTCATGTATTAATTTGAGAAGTGTGACAGCTCTGTTTGTGCAGAAGGGCAGAATAAGATACGTAGTGTTGTGCACAATGTGCATGACTGTCTTAAAAATTAACTTTGATTCACTGAGCAGCTGCAGAAGCTCTGATTGGCCTGACCCATGAATATAAAACAGCAGGCCAATCGTAGATCCTGACTGCATAGCACACTCCAGTGAAATAGCATTAACAGTTCACATAATAAAGCCAGTTTGTGATGCAGGTCATTATTGTCGATGAGCCACCAGAGGTCATGATCCTGGAAGAGGACACTGAAGATGATGTCCTGCCTGAGCCCTTTGAAACCAACACAGCAACGGCAGCAGAAAATGACATCATTGTCCTGGAGGAGAGTACTGTTATATCTCCTGCTCCTGTCCTGACCACCAGTGCACCTGAAGCTGACAGTGAGTGTTAATCCTGAACACAAGCATACACTTACCGATGCAGTTTATCCCCCTCTGCTGCTTTTTCTTTTTCATATCTGACTTTTTCTATCCAGCTTTTCCTTTCCTACCGCTCTAACACCTTCCAACTATTTATTAGGAAGAATATGGGCAATTTTTTTGGGGTCTTTCAGTGCTCATTTGGTTGATTTTGAATAAAATGGGCACTGGAAAAAAGGTAGCCACTTTCTAAAAAGGGAGATCAGCAGGCGCACTGAGTTCTCAACTTTGTTTTTCCAGGCATTGAGGAGGAGGGTCTGCTGCTGGAGGACACTGTGCAGACTCCTGCTGTAGAGAACCCCCCACCAGAGGAGCTCCCAGCTGACCTCCCCTCCCCTGAGCTGCCAGAGGATATCACACTGCCCGAACCACCAGTGGAGATCGAGGCCTCCGGCTCAGGCACGGGTGACCTGGAGGGCCTGCTACAGCCAACGTCAGCCACAGAAGAAGAAGAGGACGTGTCTCTTGAGGAGACTGCTTTGGAAGATGGACTGATAACAGAAGATGTTGCTGTCGATGCAGATGCTACATCTGAAGCTGACACAAAGGAAGCGGGAGAGGAGGTTACTCTGGAAGAAGACCATCCTGCTGAGATTGATGTGAATGAGGCAGAGATTCCAGAGGAGCTGGAGATCTCCACAATTGCAGCCGAGACCACAGAGGAAGAAGGCATGCCTGGCCTAGACCCACCTCCTGAGGCTGTAGATGTAGATGTAGATGTAGATGTAGATGTAGATGTAGATGTAGAGCCAGAGCCAGAGCCAGAGCCAGAGCCAGAGCCAGAGCTAGGTCTGCTTCCTGATGGTGAAGACTCAGTGGAGGGGACAGCTGAAGATTTAAACCTCACAGATGTTCCACCTGCAGATGAGGAGGTAAACCCAGAAGATGCAGCCAGAAATGTGGTATCTGAAAATGCTGAGGAATCTGTATTTGAAGATGGCGGCGTGGAGGAAGCAACAGAGGGCGAGGGACAAGATGTGAAGGAAGATCCAGAAACGCCTGGAGCTCCAGTTGTAGATAAAGAGGAAACGGAGGCTCCTTACATCTCCACAGAAGATCTCACAGAAGATGAGATCTTACTGGTGAACAAGGATGAACTAGTACCACCAGTGACAGATTCTTTGAGCCCTGCCCAACCAACTACCCTGTCTCCAGAGAGGGAGTCGCCTTTCACTCGTATCTCTGATGTTGACCCTGCCTCTGATGTGCAACCTGACATTATCATCCCTGCACTGGTGGAGGTAAAGCAAAAGAATGACACAGGATTTGGTTTGAATACTACAAATTTCTCCGGATACACAATTCTAGCTTTTAAAACGGAGGAATCACAACCACATGTACACACAACCAAGATACACAACAAGTATACACTTAAGAGTATAAGACTTAAAGAGTAAACAAGTACACAATGAGCATATACTTTCACTTTATAGGTTGAGTTTAGGGTAACCAGTTCTCCTCACTTTTTGTCCAAGGATAGAAACTATAGTGACACTGCAGCTGTTGTTTTCCACTTTTCGAACATGGATAAAAACCCTTTTTGGACAAATCCGTGAGAACAAAATCTAAGCTTCAGCTTGAACCGCTGCCAAAGCCTTCTGGCTTCAGGCCTTGGCAATGGCTGACTGACTTTGAGAGCCAGTGTTGCTAGGTGACACACTGTCAACTTCCGTGGTGCGCAACTGACTGTTGTACGTCATATGAAACCTCAACACAAGATGTTTTTTCACCTTTTTCAACAAGTCGACGTTTCAGTAGTGACTGTGATTTAAGCTGTTTGTCACTTTACAACATTTGGGGCGCCCCAAGTTTGTTTTTCACTTATAAATTGAAAGCTCATTAGCCTAGCTTGCTAATGATAGCACTAATGACTGCTCAGTGATTGGCACCTCCCGGTCACTCAGTGTGTTTTTCCTGCATTTTACACAGGAAGGAGGGTTATCTGTCTTCCACTGGTCTTGATGTGGTGATAGCAAAGGACCAGACTGTCCAAACTCACAGCAGCGAGTAGTCCTGTAACTTCAGACCTCTGCATGTTACCTCATAATTCGAATCATGGTCACAGAGTAATGTACGAAGTGCTCAAATCACAGATGAAGCTAAGTAATGGCCGACAACATCATCCCCCTGCTGGTGAAATAACTACCTGTCTGGCGATTTAGTGGCTGCCAGGTATTGCAGATATTGCACCAAACAAATTACTAGTACCTATGGTGATGCCAAAAATGTATGCAACGCAGAGAACACTAACGAAGAGAAACTATTTCTGCAGAAAAAGAAACAACTCTTACACTTCTTCTTTTTGGTCATTAATCAATGCCTGATGGTAGTGTATCCCCATCCCAGCATTTTTTCCAGTGTGTCGGCCAAAGACTAAGAATGCCCGCACACTGAATAAATGCTCCCATAGAGGACAATTTATTGAATTGATTAATTGAATTTTATTGATTTTTTTTTATTGAATTTTGTATTGAACTTTATGACCTGATCAAAACATGATGTGGAAATGTGGTACTTGTATTCGATAAATTGCCTTATTCAGTTGCTTTTGAGATCCTTTTTTGGCAATCACAATTGTAAACAAAAAAGTACACAAGTCAAACCAAACACCAAGGGCACAGATACTGAGTTCTTAGCAAAAATTTGTTTTGATTTCATTTTGAATGTTGAGTCATTAAAGCAGCTCTATAACACTAAGTAAGAATTGTTGTGCCCCAGTTACAGGTATCATTTCAAAATGGGTTTTCTTCTTTTCCCCCCAGATACAGACCTCTAATGAAGGCTTGGATGATGCCACCATTGGAGACCAGGACTATGACGTGGTTCATTATGGTTATGGTTTGATTAACCACACAGAGGAGGGCAGCACTGGATTCCCGTTCGGTGTGGCACACGGCACAGACCAGGCCAGTATCGCCATGCCTGTGAACCCTGGGCGAGCACTGATGGTATTCTTCAGCCTGAGGGTGACCAACATGATCTTCTCAGAGGATCTCTTTAACAAGAGCTCTCCAGAGTATAAAGCTTTGGAGCAACGCTTTCTAGAGCTGGTAAACATTACATCACATTAACTCGTGGCTATCATTATTCTTACTGTTGTATCATTGCTTTGCAAAATCAAAATCATACTTTTTTAAAATTGTTTCCCAGCTTGTGCCCTACCTGCAGTCCAACCTGACTCACTTTGAGAACCTGGAGATCCTGAACTTCAGGAACGGGAGCATTGTGGTCAACAGCCGGATGAAATTTGGTAGACCTGTGGCTCGTGGCGTCACCACCACCGTCTATCTGATCCTGGAAGATTTCTGTAACACAGCCTACCAGACAATGAACCTGGCCATCGATAAGTACTCACTGGATGTCGAGTCGGGTAGGTGCTCACTGATCTATGCTGGGATGAAGACAGATGTGAAAGCATCATCTGGTTGAGGCTTATGTCTTTCTCAAATGAATAGGCTTAGAAAAGACTATTATTCACTTTTTTCCCAAGATATAGATCAGATTGATACCATTCACATGTCTGCATGTTCAATGTAATGCTGCAGCCAGAAGCTTCACTCACAGTGATTGCACAACTCCAGGAAGTCACTGCCTAGCCAAGCAGTAGTTCTGCACATTACCCCATTATAAAACAAGAAATGGTGCCTGCCGCTGCCTGTAGCTTCATATTTAGCACGGCAGAGGTATCAATCTTCTCATTTAACTGTCTGCAACAAAGTAAAGAGAGTATTTCACACAATGTCAAACTATTGGGTGTAATTTCAGAACATTGCTTGGTGAAATAACAACATTAATTCACTCCTTAGAACGGGTTTGAATGTGAAAGTTTCTCGGCAGTGAATCCCTGTCATGACACTTGAAAGTCACTGTCACATCAGCTTAGGTGAGATAATCAGTGCTTCCCTGGACCACAGCCAAGTTGGCACATGTCATTAACTTCACTTTGAATGACTGATTACTGTGTTCAGCCCTTTTTTTTTTTCTTTTTTTTTTTAATTCTTATTTTTTACAGTGTGCATTATACTCCTTTAATTTTTATAACACAGCTCAATTATTAGCCTAGCATGACACTTTCTATGCACTTACTTTTCCTCACTTCCTCATGTGGTATCTAATTCCAGGCTTCTTTGTTTGAGAGCATCAGTCAGCTTGTAATCGGCCATTCATAATACCAGTGAATCATGCTTGTGTTTACAATCATGGCTGAGCTGTCATAATCTGTCTGAGTCACAGCCACACAATGCTGGATCTCTTTGCACTAAGCTGAACCCAGCTCTGTAGTTACCGCACAGACATGAGAGTGGTGTAGATCTCTTCATCTAACTCTTGGCGAGAAAGTAAATAAGTGTGTTTCACAAAATGTTCAACTATTTCTGAAAGTCTGTGTTACCTTTCTTTTGAAATTTTGAGCATATTCTAAATCTTTTGAGATAAAAGATAGCAGATATGCTGATCACCATGAGCATATAGCAAACCTGTAATCTTCAGTTTTAAGTAAATGCTCTCCTATTTTTTTAACATCCAGGTGACCAGGCTGACCCCTGTAAGTTCCAGGCGTGCAACGAGTATGCGGAGTGCAAGGTGAACAAGTGGTCGGGGGAGGCAGAGTGTGTCTGCAACGCTGGCTACTTCAGCGTGGACGGCCTTCCCTGTCAGAGCATCTGTGAGCTGCAGACCGACTTCTGCCTCAATGACGGCAAGTGTGACATCATCCCGGGCCAGGGAGCCATCTGCAGGTGGGTGGGGATTAGGGGAAGTGATCTGCCTGTCTGCAGGAAAGAGTGTCTGTTTTGCAGGTTTGCGAGGCCCAGCGACCCCATCGCATAACACTAAACAGATTTTCATGTTACTGTAGTGCACGCAGGAGGCCAGAGTCTTAGCTTCTAGTTTTGAAGTGACTTTGCTTCCCCAAGATCATGTGGAGATGAGAGATGTCACGTGCACTCCAAGCCTTTGTTCAAAACGCCTGTTTTAAATTTGCCTCCACATACTGTATGTGTGAGGTAAATATGTGTTCTAGCCTAAGGAATCATAATTACAAACAACTAAATGGAATAAAGATTTTGTTTTACACCTTAGTTGGCTACAAAAAACTATTAACCATCCTCAGAGATTTATATTTTTGGCCTAGATCAACATATAAATTAAATCAACATTTTGACTCAAACCTTTGGCAGCTCACTATGTTAATTTATTTACACTCCAAGGCATTAAGTTACTGTGCAGTGCATAAATGAAATGAATACCATGAATGAATACCACTTGTGAAGGGGTAATTGCTAATATCTGATTATATTGTTCCATTTTTCAGCTGCAGCACACACATCATTACAGTTTTGGGTAATGAAACATTGTGCATGATATAATGTTACAGCCCTAATCTTTTCCCACGCTTTCCTGTAATTATCAAAAAAAACAAAACAAAACAAAACATAAGAATTACTCACAAACAGATTTTGTTGTGTGGGTTTTAGTGTCTGTGCATGTATTTCTGTGTCCAAACAGACATTTGCATGTGTTTACGTGTGTAGGATGATATGCCAATAATTTAATCAGTGAAAGAAGCATGTCCTCTGGCTTAACTGAGGCTGTTGTATATTGTAGGCTGAGTGATTATGAACAGACACATAAGATACTGTGTGCCAAGATGAGTGGTAACCTTTGTTTCACACCCACTACCACATCATAAAACATGCAGGCAGCACCGCATGTTCTTGGATTGTTGTTTACGTCTCGCTGTGCGGCTGCATTGTTCCATGAAGACAGGAAACAAACATTTTTATTTTAATATTAAACATGGCATGAATGATTTAATGACGCATACAGAATGTTATAATTGTAGACATGTTATTAATTATGCAAAGACAAAATACAAAACTGTTTTTACATTCTTTAATCTTTCAACAGAGAATAAAAGATAGAAAAGCAGTGATGAGTTTGTAACATTTTGTTCTTCTGCTGTTCCCTGAATGTTTAAAAAGTTTTTAAAATTAACCTGCATCTGTTCGTGTTGTGCAATCTTCTGTTCTTGATTGTTACACTGAAAAGGTTCTAGACCAAAATTATTTGTTGAAATTTTGACAAATTTCCCAGGTGTCGTGTCGGGGAGAACTGGTGGTACAGAGGAGAACACTGTGAGGAGTATGTGTCTGAACCACTGGTGGTCGGCATAGCGATCGCCTCAGTTGCCGGCTTCCTATTGGTGGCTTCCGGAGTGATCTTTTTCCTGGCCCGGACGTTACGGGATCAGTATGACAAGGATGAGTCGGAGGATCCCATAAGGTAAGGAACACCACTCAAACACAACACAGTACCCAAAAAAAACTCAGCTTAATAAAATGAACAGTATATGATTGATTAACCAGTGCGATTTTTTTCAGCCTGCAAAAGCTGTTAAATCTGTTCGTCTGTAGAAACAAAGCTTTATTTCTGTTTGATAGTGAACAGAAATGCTTAACTCTAGTGTGTGTCTGTCCTTAAAGGAGTCTTGTTATTTTCTTGAGTGGACAGGATAACTTGAGACATCCCAGGACTGTATCCTCAGCCAAAATTATCCACTGCACCATCTCTTCACCATCAGCAGTGTGACCACCCCTCCGACTAGCTGTTTCTTTTCTTTCTGTCATTTTTTGCTCACTCCTTTACTTTTTTCACACCCAAGAAGTACAGAAGTGTCTAATAGCCATGCGCCCGTGTGTGTGTGTGTGTGTGTGTGTGTGTGGCCTGTTTACCACAGTAGCCTGCAGAGAAACATTGTGTTAACCTCAGCCAATTAACTGATCAGATATGGCGCTGATCTATTTCCAAAAAGCCTTAAACACCTAACACAAGAGGCTTTGTGACAGTCTTGAATCTGAGCCAGACATAAACATCTGAGGATAAGAAAGATTAATCAACGCTAAAGTCTTATTCACTGCCGCCCAGTTTTCTTTTCTGGCTCCCTAAACAGTGTGTTGCTTCATCATCCTGCTTCTTCGCTGGGACCAATTTGTCTGTGTGTTGTTTTGCAGACGAGCAGAGAGTCTCCCATCTCTGGAGAGGGCAACCAAGTACAATCCCATGTATGAGAGCGAGGCCACCACAGGCTATAGCCACTACTACCGCCGCTACCCTGAGGCTCCAGTCTACAGCAGTGCCAGCGCAGAGGCCTCAACCGACTTCAGCAGCGAGGAGATACGGCACATCTATGAGAACAGTGAACTGACCAAGGAGGTGTGTGTGTGTGTGTGTGTGTGTGTGTGAGTGTGTGTAGGCTGCTGTACCCTGGTTGATTTAGAAGAGATGTCTTAGCCACATTTATAGAGCCTTTACTGGTTTTTTACACTATTATCTTTATTATCCAATGAAATGTTAACCAGCAGTGATGCTAAAATAAGTGATAATAATTAATTCATTAATAATTGATAATAAAATTTACAGATCTGATCAAACATGTGATTGTAAATGATTCTCCATAAATACGGGTGAATGAACACTTCACAGATCATAGAGAAAGTTAGAGGATGCCTTTATAACTTTACCGCCCCACAGCCCCCAACCCTCACTAGGCAAGCTCTCTCTCTTCCCACATCCGTATTTTACCTGAAGAGGATCTGAATTGCAAACCCTACGGCTGCAAACTTGTTTCTGTTACCAACTGGCTTTTGCACCCTTGAAATAAGAAAGACATTTTAGTTTTGTTTTGTTTTGTTTTTTTTCTTGGGTGTAATGTCATGTTTTGATTCAGCCACAGCCTGTCCTGTGATGTAATGTTCCCTTCTGACTGATATCATGTGTTTCTGCAGGAAATCCAAGACAGGATACGCATCATTGAGCTCTACGCTAAGGACCGGCAGTTTGCAGACTTTGTGCGGCAGCATCAAGCGTGAGTGCCTCTCTTGTTTTTCCCGTCTTAGACTGCAATGAGATAAACAGGCCAGACAGGATATGAGGGAAAAAAGGGGAAGTGAGTTTTGAGATACAGGAGGCTGACAAGATCGGAGTGATGAGGAGTTCAAGCCATGCCAAACCAGTGGGGAGACAGATTTATCACGGCTAAATCTGCACCAGCCAGGCCTGAAGTTGATACAGTGAGACAGAAACCATTAGGAGACAGACATTCTTTTGTCTGCCAACTGTTTGGCAGTAGCAGTGTGTCTGTGTGTAACGGCAGTGATGGTTTTTAAGTCGTATCTGGCTGTAAATGCCTCTTCTCTGTGCCATGGAGATCCGCCGAGCCAGAAAACCCTGAGTTAAGTTGTGGGTACTTGTTTTGTGCAGTAAATAAAGTGAGTTATTTCCCTAGAAAGATGAAATCTCTTGTGTTTGTGTGTGTCTGCATGTGCTGCAGTGTCCTGGACACCCGCAGAGAGAGCTCCTCTACATAGACATGAAACTCTGCTGTGAACAACAAGGTATTTCCTCTTCATTATTAGACTGTGTGGGAGGTTTTCAGTCTCAGTTACAGTACAATGCCCCAATCAACATCAAAATCAGCAGATATTAGATATGAACATGTCAATAATATATCTTTTTCAGTCAATACCAATACCAAAAGAACAGTTTTAGGAATGGGTCAAATTATGATCTATGCATATGGGCAGCACAACAACAAGGCTTTTAATTGGTTGGTGTTAACCTGACTATAAAGCTAGATGGAAAGAAATAGTGCATGCAGTGGGAGAAGAAGAAACACCTCCTCATACCATGATTAGTGACCTTTCTCTGTATAACCAGTTATTAGAAGCCATAGGTTGTTAGTTCACTATAGATGTGGAGGAAAGTTTTAAATATTTTGCATGATGGATTAAAGAGATTCAAAAGAACAGTTTGACATTTTGGGAAATATGCTTATTGAAGTTGCATCAACACAAATTTAATGTCTGTATGGTCAATAGTTATTTTCTAAGGTTAAATAAAGTAGATATACCATGCTCATTAGTGAGCATTAGAAGTGCCAATAGGCAGATGTTGTTATCTATGGACACAGCCAGGTGAACTGTTTCCCCCTTTTTCTAGAGTGTACTTATCTAACTCTCAACAGGAAACGAATAAGCATATTTCCCCAAGTGTTGATCTATTCCTGTAAAGGTTGAATCACTAGTTGGCACACAGCATATTGCAGAGATAAAGGTAAAATAAGGCATTTGCAGGAACTTAAGGACAAATTCACTTTGCTGCATCAAGACCATTCACTTAAAACGTAGAGATAATATGGGCAGAAAAATCTAAAACATATGATAATAGAAGATTTTCCTCGTGTGTACATTTGCCATGTGTTGACACACATCTTCTGCTCCACAGAAACATGCCTCTATGTTAAAAAAGTGAAGCTCCCCGTCAAGACTGCACTGTTTGAAAGGACTGTCACTCAGTACAAGATTATTTTCTCAATGAAGGGCCCCTCGCTGTGTCTGTGTCTGTCCCTGCCTGTGTGGGCAGAGCTATCGACTGTTCTGCCTCCTTCCTCTGTGCCTTCTCTTCTTGACTGGGCGAGCTGGCTGTGACATCAAGGGACATGTTTTGCTGCTCATCTACTGGATGTCTCCCTTTGAGGAAAAGTGGACCGCATCCTATTACTTGAAATGTTGACAGAAGCATAACAGTACACATAACTATGCAGTACTTTTGCTTAGTGACATAATGGTTTTGTTTCATCATATCCTATTTCTCTATTCTTGTCCAAAGGGAAGAATATAAAGCTGTGAATATGTATATATGGATGTTTCTAGTTAGGACATTATTTAAACAGTTTTCTCTGCTCTCTTGTGTCTCCATAGCTCAAATGGACTTTTTGGGTGTTCTCAGACATACACTGAGAGAGTTGCTGCTGTTTAGTCAACGGTGCTATCTTACTTTAAAATACAATTTGAAATGTAGTGATCTATAATGACTTATTTTTACAATTTAAAAGCAACACCAAAGGATCAACTCTCTATATTAGAGTACTTTTGTGCATTAAAGGAATAGTTCAACATTTTGGGGAAATGGTGGGGGCAGCTAGCCTGGCTCTGTCCAAAGCTAACAAAATCAACCCATAAAATTGTCCAAAAAAACAAAAAACAAAGCTCAGATGTAATGTATTAATCAGGGAGCTTTAGAGATGCCAATAGGTAACCAGTGGACAGATCCAGGTTTACTGCTTCCCCTTGTTTCCTGTCTTAGTGCAAAGATAAGCCATATGGCTTCTGGTTGTAGCCTTATATTTTATGTACAGATATGAAAATGGTATTGATCTTCCCATCTAAATCTCGACCAGAAAGCAAAAAAAAATATTTCCCAAAATGTCACACTATCCCTTTAAGGTGGCCAAATCTGCTAGATTATGTGATATACTATTCATCAATGTTAAAGCAGCATTTCACAGTCTGAAATGGAAGGTTATTCCAGTTAGTTTTCTACTGGCAGGTGATTCTTTTTCCTTTTTAAAGGGCTTCATCAATCAGATGCTTTGGTGTATGTTTGTAAATGTATGGTGTGGCAGACACAGGAAAATAAAAAACAGTGGTGAGGCGACAAAGACAGAGAGCATGAACCCACTATAGCTCTGGGATCCAGAAATAAGTGAAAACACGTTTCACTGGAAAAATGCTCTGGGGCAAGCTGCCCAGGGATTTGATCAAATGCTCCGCTTTCAGATGTCATATGTAATGCAACAGAAAGAATGGGAAAACCAGGAAAAGCAAGCTGTGCTCTTTGAAAAGACAACCTCAAGCTGTGTCTCCTGTTGAGAAAAAAAACTTCAAGGTTGCCAGCAATTCTTCCTAAAAAATGATCTGTCCTGTGACTACTTGTTTGGCCATGATCCTGCTCCTCCTCCTCAATCTGAAACCTCCTGACAGACTAATTCTAGTGTTTTCTTTGGTATTTTCATACGTTTCTCCCTGGACTTGTTGTGCTTGACCCATGTCGCCCCTCGAGTGGCTCCTCACAGCTGCAGCTGATTACAATCTATAGGTTTGCGTTTGTTGTCGGCCAGTGTGACCGTCAGTTCTGTTTAGGTCAGAGACAGACACGTAGATCACGTCCTAGCTTCTTGTTTACATTACATGCTTCTCATCCTCTGCTCCTCTTTAGATGTCGCCTACACAAGCGATAAACACTGGTGAAACAGACTCTTGTGACAGTGACATGCCTTTCGCAATCTGCATATAGTTTTATTTTTATATGCGGCTTTTTATGTGTCTGCATACAGTTTTTGTCAACACCCTCCATCTGCCACCTAGACAAACAGCCAATCATCCCATACACTGTTCTGTCATGTAAATAACACTGAAGATACTGTATTATTAACAGTTGTATTGTAGGATGTGAATTGTGTGTGTCTCAAATGTTTCAATATACGAACATATTCTTTTTATACTGATAACTGTTTCACCATTTTAACTGTGTTATCATACCGTGCAGCTGTGTAAATCACTAATAAAAAAGTGTAACATGAACAAAAATAAAATGTTTTTTATAAAATGCAGACTGAGGTCCAGTGGTTAAATGTAAAAGAAGTGCATTTACTTAAGTACACTTTTTAGGTACTAGTTTTGAGTATTTCCACTTTGTACTTTGTACTTCTACTGCATTACTTCACAAAATCAGCCTGTTATAAAATATTTCATTATAGATTGAACTTCTCAGTTGGTGTATGTGTACATGTATACACATATATAATTATCGGAATGTATATATATATATATATATATATATGTTAATGTATCTGTAATCATAATAATAATATGATATCTCAGACACTTTTATTTGTAACAGCATACATTTATGTTGTGGTATTGATACTTTTTCTTAAGTAAAGGATTAAAATTTTTTTTTCACTACTGCTCACCCAAAGGGAATGTGACAGGACTTGCTCTTGCTCTTAGAATCACTGATATATTGGCTTCTTCCACTATGCTGTTGGGCCAGGTGTTTAGTCGCTCCCGGATAATCTGAAGAGCAGATTAGCCTCATATGGATTATAGGCTCTCCTGTGGCCATGACAGTTTCTAAAAGAGTATATACCAGTAATCATCCTGTGTCGCACACGTGCCAGAATCTGGCTGTGTAATTTAATGCCTATGCAAGTGCGGGACATTGTGTAAACATGCCATTGGCCTGGTGAAACAATAAATACTGAACAATGTGTCATTGTACTGCATGCAAAAAAAAATTGCACCCAGCTGCCCCCTTCTTTGTTATGTTTTTAACATAGGCATTGTTCCAGAGGTTTGGATTATATTTGGTGTGGTTTGGTGAGGTCAGTGGGTGTGTTGATGACCAACGATGGCGTCATTTAATTTTTACTGATTATTAGAAAATCAAAATCAACATTGTAATCGAGCAGGAGGGTGTGTCTGCTTTAGGGCTTATTGTGTTAAATGTGAATGTTGGATGAAGAGTGGCAGGCAGCAACAAGTGGTTCTGAACAGACCCAGTTTAGACTATTTACCAGTATGAAGTCAGTGTCACTTCAGCACAGAAAAATGGAAAACACCATGTGAGGGAGGAAATTATTACTGCATGCTGACAGACTGACATGTAATGTTTTCATTCTGGAGCATAATTTGATTAGAGGAGTGAGGAACTGATGAGAGGTTGAAGGTTGTTCTTGACCAGGTGGGTTGATGTTTGCCTGTGTGAGAAAAGTATCTGGTTCCAGCGACAGACCTCTGCTGTAGTTGCTGGGTTCGTAATGTATGACAACACAATTCCTGTGCAACCACTCTGGAAAAAAGGGAAAACTAATTCAACCCATGTTTTTAGTCAACATTGGCATTACTGCATATTGTCTGAGGTCCCACAAACGTCCTCTCTGTATTATAATTAGTAAAGTTTTTAACTATAATAATGATAGCAAAATGCACTTTGTTTTTCCTTTTAAATATTTTTGTCATTTTCTTCTTCTTCTCAATGGGATAGCTATTTTGAATTATATGTTTGTATATATACATATATATATATATATATATTTAAATACATGTTTGCTTTAATGCATGATTTGGGTACTGTTTGGTATATGATTTGGTCTTGTCCTGTTTTTTTTCTTTTCCACAAAAGCAGTATAAACTAACAAACAAAAATCACGCCTAACCAAGTCACAAGACAAAAGGAAAAAGAAAATACAGAAATAAATCGGCCTCAGGAGTTGTCAAATTCAGGCCCATATCTACAGTCAGACCTACAAGCACTACAAAATAAATAAATAGATAAATAGCCTAACAACCACAGCAACAAGATAAACGTAATAATTACAGCAACCATTTTATTATGATTTTATCCTCACCTTCATGGAATTGTATCAAAATTTTGATCTCTGTTTGGTAGTTTAATTTGACAAAGCATGTAAAATCTTGTGTAAAGTAACAACAAATAACAATGGCTGTCAGATGAATGTATAACATACAATTTCCTTCTAAAACGTAGTGTAGTATAAACTAGCATCAAAATAATCAAGTACCTCAAAATTGTACTTTAGTGCTACTTTGAAAGAAAATGGATTTAGTTACTTTCCACCGCTGCCGACTGTATCACTTCAGACACGTTTTCTCAAATAACTGAAACAGCGCCCCCTTGTAACGGCTGGTACACATTAGCCAATGTGTGTGGTAAAACATGGGTATTGCAGCTTTACCGACATTCTGCAGGAGTGAGAACAGGTGAAACTAGCATTCTTTAATTAGAGAATCATGAAGTATCAATCAGTCGTGTCACTGCAAAACACCTCTGGAGAAGAAACTCTGAAGTGGACGGTGAAGCCAGTCATGCTGTGGCCTCGTAAGAAACATTTGAAAGTCAACAACAACTTGATTTAAATGAAACGGAGTTAGCTTGTTTTCCAGAAGTGCTAACGATATTAGCTCCGGTGTTTTTGCAACAGGTGCGGTGGAACATTGTGGACACTTCGTCCGCAGGAAAGAGACGAAGATGGAGTTCGATGTCAAATAGTGAGTCAGATATACTTTTTCATTTCTCTCTGTCTGTGTCTGACTTGTGTCTGTTTGTTCGCTGGTTCCTTCCCGATAGTTAAATGTTGCTCTGTGGCTGTTGTGTATTTAACACGTTTTAACAGGTCATATTATGAACTGTTGACATGGCTGGATTAACTTCATTTTTAAAAAATGACCCGCTGGGACCCGATTCACCCCCACTGTACATATCTATACCAGCCTGTACTCTAGAGTTGAAATGGTTGGTGGGTTAATTAATTAGTTGCTTAACTGGGAACAATTTTGATAATTAATTAATAGTGTATTTTTAAAGCAGAAATTACAAAAAATCTCCCGTGCAAGTTTATCAGATGGAAATATTTGCTAGTTTGTCAGTTTTTCAGGATAGTAAGGTCAACATTTTTTTTTTTTTTTTTTTACTGTTGGTCAGTAAAAAAAAAAAACTATTAGAATCAACAAGATGGAAGATCGAGGATCTGTCAGTTGATATTCTACTTCAGGAATGCACGTTGCTAACAAATGTGCTATTAACCAGATTAAATAGCTCCAAATGACATGGAATAAACCTTGGAGTCTTGTGTCCTGGTTGGTAATCCAGCCTTTGCTGTAGGTTGATCGCCTGCACACAGACCCTGTTGTCTGGGTCTGGCTTTGGTTAACATGGATTTTTTTTTCCAGTCACTTGTTAATGGGTGACTTGTGAATGAGCCTGTAAGGCAGTTGCTTGTGAGAATTTCTTCATTCCTGTTTTTAAATTGTGCTGAATAATGAATTTAAAATAGCAAGAATACTGTAGAGCCTGTAATGTGTGACTTCCTTCATACTGACTACTATAGATCTAACTTCCTGTAAATCTTCATATGGTCTCGTATTTGCTGTTTTCTGAGTATCTTTGGAATTTGGACTGTTGGTCAGACAAAACAAGAAGTTTAAAGA